CTCTGCTGGGTGGAAGGGAAGGAAATTGTACTCCAGCACATCTGGAGCGCACCGGCTTGGGGAAGCCTAGATCAGATGGTCTCTGGAGTGACAATCTAAAAATATTTGCTCCCTGTTTCTCTTCTAAGTCCAACTGGGAGAACATCCCATAGGGGAACTTTGTAGCATGGTGACTCATTTGCACATGATCTCTCTGAAGGAATGCACTGCTAATTATTAAGTCTGAAAACAGCTCTGCACTCAAAGAGCTGCAGGCAGCTGTTTCAGCTACAAGCTGCTTCTTTCTCCCCTGTGGTAGCATCCAGGCGGAGGAATTACCTCCCAACTGCCACCCAGATTAAGACGTAATAAGGATGAACAATCGATAAATATTTGAGCATGACTCTTTAAAAGGAAGAAAACAGGTTCAGCAGGTCTCTGAGGCATCCAGTCTAAAAAAATGAAGAAGGGAGACAACTAAAGAAGACATGGTCAAATCAAAGCATGAGTAAATGAGAATATGTAATTATTTCACAAAGCACCTTGGCTTACTTGCACAAGCAGAAGACTGGGAGAAACACATTTTAGGCAGTAGGAGACAGCTTTTCTCATTTGACATTTAGCGATGCAAAAAAAATGGAACATTTTTATCATTCCATGTGCCATTTTTGTACAGTGGATATTTGTGCAATGTATTTTAATATGTTTCACTTATATGAACATTGCAGGTCACCGTGAAACTGTTTATGTAATTAAAAGGCATGATGGAATGTTTCAAAATAATTAACTGAGTAGATGGTTTCCAACTGAATTTATTTTGTGGACATGTAAGTTTTGAATTCTACAAACCATCCAATTTAGTATAGTTGGTATTATCCAGATTTAATCTTGCTTTGAGTACACCTATTGAAATCAGTGGGACCTTAATCATGAGCTGACTTCTGCCCCATTCAGTTCAACAGGCCCATTCTAAGCATGACCAAATCTGGACCCCCACTCCCAGTATCTTTCCAGAATCCCGACTCCCTTCCCCTTCTTGCTTTGCAGTGGATTGCGTTATCTCTCGCAACCTTTGCAACTACTGAGCTCTGCAAAATAATTCCCAAAGAGAACAGTGCTAAAAGCCACAACAGTTCATTGCTTTCATTAGGGCCGACTCAAAGGTCACAAAATATCTGGAATCTTGGAGAAGTTTTCAGAGATAAACAAAGGAGGAAAAAAGGAAAGGAAGGGGGCAGATTCCTGAGGTCGAGGCTTTGGTGTTGAATGAACCTTTGCTTCCAGGAGCCGCCTTCTGCTTCCAGCAACATCCCTGACCATTGGTCATGCTGGCTAGAGTTGGTGTTGCAGCCCACCAGCTGGGGGAAGGCTGGGTTGCAGTCTGGGTTGGCATTTGCCTCATCTCCATGTTGTGGCGCCCTGCAAGCTCAGGTTCAGAGATCCCGTTTGCTTCAGTGCTTCCTTTTACACCGCCAGGTGAGCATGGAAGTCGAAGTGGATGAGCTGCTCCAGTGAAGATGGAGCGACAGGGTGTGAGATGCAAGTCTCTGGCCTATTATTATGTCTTGGTGTATTATTAGACCCCGGGACCAGTCCGGTACTTCTTGCTCTGGACGTCCTGATGGGAATCCCTGCTTGTCTTGGCTCCTGCTTGTCCTGATTTTAACCTCAGCTTCATCATTTTATCCTCAACTTCATTTTCTTTCAGATGCAGTCATACAAAGGCAGCTCACACAAACAAACGAACAATCCTCTGTCTATATAAGCCATAAGTCAGTCTAAATACTTTTTAAAAATTAAGTATTTAAAAAAACAACCACATAGCATTTTTACAATTCCAGTTCAAAGCTGAAGAGCAGAATATTTGGACCCTTCTTAGACACAACAGCATATTCACACATGCAGTTGGAAGTCGCTGTGGATGGAACTGTGAGAAACTCCCATTGCTATGTGTAATACTTTCGTGTGGGGTGCCAGCCAGCCAGCCAGCCATGCCCTTTTCTTGGAGATGGCATTGCGCTCTCCCTCCCCACCAGAATCGCTCACTTAGCATGCTCTGTCCTTGCCATTCGTTTCCCTTGTTTTATTTTCAGGGCACGGGGAGCACTTCTGCAAACCTCGGGGTTCCCCTAAGCATTCTGATATCTTCCTCTTCCATGTTGATGCTGTTGTTTGAGAAACATACTCCTACACCCATAATCCCCTGCCAGTGTGGCTGATGGGGAGGAATGCTGGGAGTTGGCATCCCGAACATCTGGTAATTTACCTTCTGCTCATCCCTGACATAAGGAACAGCACCCAGAGTGTGAGATCGCTGTGAGGCTGGGACTGAGTCATTTTTACATTCCCTTGAATTTAGTGTCTTTTGTGAATGAGCTTTCCCCTTCCAACACGTTACAGGTGAAAAATAAGAACATGCATGCAGTACCTCCACTGTTTTTGTTGTGGTTGTTACCTTGGGGTCTCAGTATTTAATCTTTATTACTTATATTAAGTTATCTGGAAACCATACACGGTTAAAGTTCACCTGTGTATTCGATCCATAAAATAGGCACCACCTAGAAAAGTCTAACGACTTTAGAAATGCTTAATTCCTCGATACTATATAGTATTTTGGGGTTTTATCTGTTGTGACCTGCCCAGACAGCATAGGCTATTGGAGAGAAGGGAAATGTAAGCAGCGTGTCTATGTAATTAAAATAATATGTGTTTGTGATTTGCTGTCTAGTCTCTGGAGTTAAGAGCTCTGCTCATGTTTCCGGTTACCGTTTTGTGCCGGGGGGGCGTGGTACTCGTGGTATGAAGGCGGTCACCTTGTGCTCTCAGTGGGGTTCCACTTCTTGATGTGGAATCTCACCCCCGCTGGCTCACCATCAATTTTAAAAGCAAAGAAGGCAAGTGCATCTAAGGAAGAGATCTGAGAAAAGCAAAACTCCATCCTGGCAGCTGCAGCTGGGGAAGCAGCAAAAGAAAGACCAGGGTTTATGCACGCCCACTGCTGTGGAAGTGTCCTGGGGTCAGGGAGCATTCATTCCCTTCCAAAGGCCCCTTTTCCAGAGAGGCTTAACTTTAGAGCAGCCTTCTCTGGCCTGGTGTTCTCTTGCGTTGGGCTGCAACTGCCATCATCCCCGGTCAGCACAGGGCTGATGGAAGCTGCGCCTCAGTGCATCTGGAAGGCACAGTTTTGGAAGCCTGGCCAACGCTTTGTGGACCTGCACCAGCACATTTCAACGAGGCAGCGTTGTTGCAGCCGTGCAAAGCAGGGAGGGTCCCTTGTAAATCGGGGCTCTTGGAGTCTGCCCACGAGGAGGGTTTCTTTGCAGAAGCAAGACTTAAATGCAACCTGAATGAATTGCTGAAATGGCCCTGCCTTTCTGCCTTGGATCGCTTCCCCCTTGATACCCTTTGTGTGGTGTTAATCCCAGTTATTCCAGGAGGAGCAACTGGTCCTGGGTCTTTAAACAAAGTGTGTTTACCTTCGCTAGCTAATTAGCAGAAATGTAATTAGTTACCACTGAGTGCCAAGCCTGCTGTTGTTCTACTCAAGCGATCAGGGAAGGGCCTTCATAGCGTGGCTACCTTCAGATCCCTCCTCAGAGTCCCTCTTTAGTACAAAGGCATTGTCATGATCCTTTAATATGTGTTGCTTGCTGAAACACACTCAGAATTCCTGTACCTGGAATCCTTTTTCTACCTGTACACAATCTTTCTCCCTTCCCTTGTCTATTGCCCCCCTCTGTGTCAAACTTTAGAATAATTTTTTGATCAGGGACCCCTCTTGCATTTTATATATCATAGACTTTTTGGAGAGGGGGTGCATGTGTGTTTTCTCAGCATGACACTGCAAAGGAACAGTTCCCTGCCCCAAGGAGCATGCAATTTAAAATCTGAAACAGGCTTTTCAGACAAAGGTTGACACCCTTTTTCTGTGACCCCCCCAAGAGTCCATGGCTCCTTTATTCACCCCTCCTGGACAACTAGCAGTTTGGTGCTTTCCCCACCCCATTCAGTGCCTCTCTCAAAATTTAGTCACTAGTTGTAAGAGCTTTTGAGCTAAATTACGCAGGCGTTTTTGTGCTGGCCTTTGACCACATTCCTTGCTGGGATGCAACTCCAGAGGGTCTCTCTGAAACCAAACTCGGCTGCTGGATTGGCCGCGGCGGGATCTGCATCCCACGGCATCTTTCCGTGCATGTGGCATTGGTGGGGTGGGGCGGCCTTACGCAGTCCGAGGCTCTTGCGGCTTGGGGTGGGATCGCTGGCATTAACGCTGGTGAGCTCTGTGCGTCACACGCATGGTCTGTGCAACCTGTGTGGCGCTTGAAGAATTCCAAGCTGGACTCGTGCTCTTTCTAGGCCCTCCTGCCCCATGGTCGACCTTGGAGGGCTTCCTAGCACCTCTGCCCGTCTGCGGAGGTGCTGTACAAAGTGAAGCAGTCCAAGCCAAAAACGAACCGTGTAAAGTAAGGTTTCTAATGAAGAGGAGTGGAAAGCCTGCACCTCTTTGGCCTAAATTCAACCCCCCCCCCCCCCAGTAGATGACCCATTCGACCCTCTGGCAAGAATATTTGCTGTACTGAGTGGGGAGGAAGAGGAAAAACTGAGGAGACGTGGTCCGGCAGAAAATGTTGCCTCTCCCTGAATTATTTATTGGTATCGTTGTAAACCGTCCCAGGACGTCAGTGATGGGACAGTATGTAAAAGTTTTCAATAAATAAATAATTTAAGTCATGAGCAGATATGCAAACAAAGCCTTACCCAAGGGAGCCAAAACATAGTGGGGGGAGGCCAAGGAGAGAAGGACGGGCACTACGAAATGGGGGGAGACTTGACTCCTTGACAGAGACCCCAAAGAGCAGGGCAAATGGTTCCTAATTATGGTCCTGTTTCCATAACATTATCCTGACCCAACTAGATTTTAAGGGGATGCCTGCCCAAAATACATAAATAAATTTCCATCTCTTGTTTATATCTAAATGAAATCATTTTAATTCCCCTGTGTTTTTCCTTTCTTTCCACAGGTCTCATTTTGCACTCGAGGATCTGGAAGGAGCCTTAACACGGGCCGTATCCCTTACACGCGAAGGACGTGCTCCGAGCTGATTCTGCGCCCGCTGGAGCCGGGGCTTGCCGTGCTGCAGGATGGCCCAGTCCAGGACCAACGGATCACACTACGCCTTGACAGCGATAGGGCTGGGGATGCTTGTTCTCGGAATTATCATGGCCATCTGGAACTTGGTGCCAGGGTTTGGTCTGATGGGGAAGCCCCACCCTCCCAGCAACAGTAGCAAGACGGATCCCGGGACAGGTTTCCATAAGAGCAAGACCTTCTCGGTGGCGTACGTGTTGGTTGGCGCTGGGGTGCTGCTTTTGCTCTTCTCCATTTGCCTGAGTGTCCGGGACAAGAGGAAGCAAAGGCAAGATGAGGACATGTTGAGGATACGGCAGCAGCCCTCGGTGGAGCATCGGCAGCAGGAAGACAGGTGAGGAGGACGTCCAGTGGACGTTCAGGGATGCACACGTGGTCCAGCTCCATTATCCTTTGTCATCCAAAGGTGCAACCATTTCTCTCATCTCCTCAGTTCCCTTTTCAGGGAAGCTTTGGACCATCCCCTTGCCCCGAACCCCCATTGCAGCCATCTTGTAACTAAGCAAAGATAGCAAGCGATTTCCCTGTTTACATTTCCCTCTTCCTCTGTTGTTCCTTGTGTCTGTCTTCAAATGAAGGCTGCTTGGGGTACAGACCCCGTCACACACATTCTCCGTTTCACTTGGGCACTCACAGGACTGCTGGTCCTGGCAGCAGCCCAAGCAAGTCTGACCAGAATCTCACTGGCTGGTTTTGAATACTCCTGACGCGGTCGGTCACCTGGGTCTGGATGACATGACAACCCATCATGAGAAGAACCACCCAAAACGAAGCCATGGGTTGGTAGTGTGGCTTGTTGCCCACAAACAAGCCATGTGGTGGGAAAAGGTCAGGCCTTGCACAGCATGAGAACTCACCATGGCTTGTCACCCGTGGTAGATTGTCATGTCTTGCAAACACAGGCCGAGAGCCTCTTCCTGAATGCATACTCTTTTTAAAAAGAATATATATTCTTTTCTTTTTAAAAAGTGGGTTAGCGTCATCTTTACCATGAATAGTTGCAGCCCAGGTGCGTTCTGAGACTGCATGGAGACGTCCTTATTATTCCGGAGGCTTGTGGGCGAGGGGTGACGTGTTTTGGTGCCGCCTCAGCACTAACCCTAAACCGGGCAAAGCGCTGCGCTCAGTTTTTCCCATCTCGGGGAGGAGGTATAACGAACCAGGTTCTGTTCTTCTTTAGCCAGTGCCTGGCTTGTCTTGACACGCACAATTCCTGGGCTCATACAAAGGGAAACTAAATCCTTATTATTTCTCCTCCTCGCTGCAAGGGAGGAGGAGAAAGGCATGCAACCCTGCATCGACTCTTTTCCGCTCATGCACTTGAGGCTAAAGCATGATTTAATGTTGTGTGAACACTTCCATAACCTGACCTCCTGATAGGTTTGCCATTCTCAGGACCCAACTAAATTAACCAGAGTGTGATTGCCTTATGGCTTTCTTTTTTGTTTTTGTTTTTTAATCATTGTGGGGGCCCCAGTCAGACAGTGTGGAAGGGGAGCACTGCCATCCTGGTATACATCCTCACACCGCAAATTGCTCTTTGCTGCGGTAGGAAAGCTGGTATTTGGCAGCCGTTTCATAACAGGAACCTGAAACGAAATCCGAATGTAATGCATAGTGTAGCTCTGAGTTCGTTTTTTCATGTATTTTGCATGTAGTTCGCTCATTGGTTATTGTACACTGCCATGACATGCAGATGACGCAAAGCAATAAGGGTGTTGAAATTCTCCCTCTGCAGTCAAGAAGAAGACGAGGAGACTCTCTCGCGCTACTATGTGCCCAGTTATGAAGAGGTTGTGAACGCAGACTCCTCCCAAGTGAGAGCGGCCGAAGGAAGCGCTAGGATCAGCATGTCTCTTCCCTCGTACGAATCCCTCACGGGCCTCGATGAAAACACACCCACCAGACCCGCCATGGCTGCGGATGCAGGACCCAACCTGGAACGCCAGCCAAGCAGGCACAGTTCCCGCCTGAGCAAAAGACTCAAGCCCTTGAAAATCCGGAGAATAAAGTCTGAGAAGCTCCACCTAAAAAATATCCAGATAAATCTTCCTGAGGGAGATGGCTCAGGCCGCGTAACAATAGAGCCTCTCACCCCTCCGCCGAAGTACGATGAGATACCCAAAAAGCTTCCAGACAACCAGCTAGAGCCTTAAAGCAGCTCCATGGACTGCTTCAGCAAAACACTATTAAATACTTGATTTCTGGGATGATGTCTAGGCTGTAGAAGGAACCAGGAATAACCAGACATCTTCTTGTCGGCAAATCTCGTTTCCAGAAGGGACCAAGGCCTAGCTCTAAATGAGGTGGGCAAACCTGTGTCTAGACTGTAGCACTTCAAACAACCTCTTGGGCCTTATGTTGGATGCTTTCCCATTAAAATAACAACAACAAATGAGATCCTTGCATGTAGAAATCTAGTAGGGTAGGTAGGAAGGAAGGTTCTAGCCTTCTTGAAAGGCTAGCATTTCAGCATTTCTTGAAATGCTGTCACACTTCTGGGAGCTTTTGCGTGTAACGAGGCCGGACACAGTTTGCTGGCCCCAGTAAGAGCTAAGCTTCAGTGAAACCTGCCAAGACCTGTGTAATGAAATTCAGATTAACACTAGGGTGTGTTTGGTAGCATCTTTGCAATATGAATCTTATATGTACATTTTTTTCTAAATTATGACACATTTTGTATGCCTCTTTGGCAACGTTTTCCCTAAAGTACTCCAGATCGGTAATATGTTTCCCAAGGTAAAGTCTTCATTTTTTGGTGTGTTTTCTGTTTGCTGGGAGTGGGGATACTGTGAGCTTCTTTCTTTTTCACCAGATGTGGCTTTTAGGGTATGTGGAAGATGCACAGTCGCCTTATGCAATCCTCAGACAGAAAAATAAACCACTGCAGAGGATGAGGGAAGCATGCTTCTTAAAATCCCATGAATGCTGGCTAAGCCAAACAACTGGCTAAGCCAGTTCTTGGTCTACAGATGCAATTGCAGGATGGACAGTGCCAAGAAAAAGATACTTTGGGGTTCCAAATGACAGATACTGTTTGTTTTCTAATGTGCAATTCTCTTGAATTTTGCAGCTACTATACTATGAACATGAAAGATGTTTTCAGGAATATGTAATGTTTTAAAACCAGAGTTGGGATACTATGACACAAACCTCCTTTTAAAAAAAAACAAAATAAACAGATTTGTGGGATGCAGGTCCCATTACTGGAATAACCAAGGAGTACTGTCAAGTTTTGAATAAAAGCATTCCCTTTTTATTGAGAGAGGTGAGAAAGGTCCTTTTGAAAGTTGTGCATCTCTCAGAAGGTAAATTACTGCTGGCAAGTGGGATCTGGGTACTTGTAGAAGGGAGGTACCAGATTCCAGAAGATAATAGGAATTTATGCTGCTGTTCTATGGTTCATTGTTCCACCTCTAACATGCCCATTCCAGGCAAAATTCCAGAAGCTAGTACTATACTAAACTCGCATATTATCTCAGAAATGCTATAGGAAGCTATGCTCCCTTAATGCAGAAGCTGCCAAAAATGTATAAACATTTTTAAAAAGGAAAAAAACTGTATTACAATTGTAATAATATATACCGATCACAAAAGATGAATGGAAGTCATGTTTGACTTCTGCAGTTACAAGAGGTGCTCAAAGTGGTTCCCATCAGTGTCCAGGCACTTCTGATTATGATGAAGAACTGCTTGAGAAACATTGACCAAAGTGCCCACTTGAATCGCTGGGCAAACTATTTCAGTTTCTTCCCGAAGTACCGCTGTCTCTTGAGCGAATTAAAAACATAGAAACAGAGCGAGTCAGAAGGGGCCTCCCGGGCCATCTCGTCTGACCTCAGGCACCAGCCGGTTCCGCTCACGACATGCCCACCATGTGCATGTCCAGCCTGTCCTTGAACACCCTCACTGGTGGGGCCTCAGCGACGTCTCGTGGAGGCCCATTCCACACCCTTGGGGTCCTGACTGTCAGGAAGTGCTTCCTGGCATCCAAATGGAACCTGGGTTCCCTGATCTTTGCTCCTTTGGAGCGCGTCCTGCCTTCCTCTGCAGGGGAGAACAGGTCTCTCCCCACCTCCGCGTGGCACCCCCTCACATACCTGTATGTCGCCAACAGGTCCCCTCTGAGTCTCCCCTTCTCCAGGCTGAAGAGACCCAGTTCCCTCAGTCTCGCCTCATGCGGCATCCCCTGCAAACCGGCCACCGACCTTGTGGCCCTGCGCTGCACTGACTCCAACCTGGCCATATCCTTCCTGTAATGAGGGGCCCAAAACTGAGCACAACACTCCAGTTGCAGGTGCACCAGAGACAAATTGCTGCCATAATTCAATTCAAGTTCGAAAAGTGATAAGTTAGTTCTTAAAATGTGCATACATTTTTTTTATTTTTTTTTTTATTTTTTTGGCACCCTGGTATTTCTGTTTCATTGGTGGCAAAAGAAGACGGGGGCGGCAGGGGACGAGGTGGCTGGATGAAGTCACTGAAGCAGTCGGCGTGAGCTTAGGGGGACTCCGGGGGACGGTGGAGGACAGGAAGGCCTGGAGGAGTGTTGTCCATGAGGTCGCGACTAACAACATTTCTGTTTCACAAGGAGAGCAGGAGTATTTCCCCCTTGCCAGGTTTGTCGTTGGTCAGGGTGTAGACCTCCCCACTCCCACCTTGGTTGTGCTTGTCACTTGCTGCTTGGTTGTGCTTGATGACATGCCGTCAAGTCATCTGTAGTTTATGGCCACTGGTATTAATGAGCAGCCTCCAAAATGGCCTGCCCTTGGAATTCCTGTGCAGCTCATGTAAATTCAAGGCCATAGCTTCCTCCATCTCATATTTGGTTACCATCTCCTTTTCCTTCCTCTGCCGTCAACTTTCCCTGGCATGATGGTCTTCTCCAGAGAGTCTTACCGTCTCATAATGTGCCCAAAGTTTGACAGCTTCCGTTTTGTCATTTTTGCTTTCAGAGCAAGTCCTGGCTTGGTTTGATCTAGGACCCACCTGCTTCTTTCTGTTGGTCCAGGGTATTTGCAAAGTGCTCCTCCAGCATCATGTTTACAAAGCCATCCATTTTCTTGCTGTCCAGCTTTCACAACTATCCATACTGATCGGGAGTAGAGTAGTGTGGGTGAACTTAGCCTTGGTCTCCACTGAAATGTCCTGACTGTTGATTATCTTTCCTAGTTCTCCTAGCCATTAAATCAAAAAGGAATGGGAGGAAGCCTGGATCTTGTGCACATGCATCCTAATGCATGCACATTAATGCTATTCTATCCTTTTGCAGCCTGCCCTGAACCGGTGCATTTTGCACAAATGATCGTATTTGTTTAAAGCATTTTTACCCAGCTCTTCGAGGAGCTCCAGGACAAACGTCAGGTGAAACAAGGAGCTTTCTGGAAAGGTTGAGACCAGTGCCAACAGCAGTGTAATTGGGCTTTCCTAATATTATTTATTTGATAACTGCAATATCAGTCCTAGTGTTTTTCCCTGCAAGGGACCTACTTAGGCCTCCTCTCCCCTCCAACTTAGCTTCCCACCGCCCCAGTAAGGAAGGTTAGACAGCATCAATGGCTGACAGTCATCCAGGCCTGGCCCAGACTCTGGTCTCCAGAGTCCCAGTCCAACCACCTACCACCAGAAAAAGGGATTTAGCATTGGGTGATCCAGGTGCTAGTCCCTGGGTGACTTTGGGCCAGCCTCAGACTTTCAGTCCAGCCTACCTCGCGGGGCTGTTGTGGGAATAGTGTCAAGGGACCTGTTGCATGGGCTTACGGGGCTCCTGCTTTCCTCGGGTGGGGCGAGACAGGCCGCGACTCGCGAGAGAGAGCAGAATGCGACGGGGAGAAACGCTCTCCCTCAAGGGTAGGCCGCCACCTGGTCAGGCCGGCGCCGGTCGCCAAGGTGACAAAGGTTACTTCCGGGAGGCCGCGGGCGAGTCGCGCGTGCGTGGTTGCTGCGGAAACGGGGCGGGGCGGGGCTCCGCGGCCTTCTGCCCCGCCTTCTGCCGAGGGGGGCGGCGGCCTGGCTCGGTTGCCGTGGAGACGGCTCCGGCTGGCGCACGCGGAGGCCTGCGGCGGCGGCGCCCGTGCACGTTGGGACGCGTCTGGACGAAGCGCGAAGCGGGTCGGGGGACGGTGTCGTCAAGGCGGGGCGCGCCTGCCCCCTGGAAGACAAGGACACGCGGGGGTGAGTTTCCCTCCTCCCCCAAGCAGCCGCCTTCCTCTGCTTCCACTGGCGCCCCCCGAGCCGGGTGTCTTCACTCCGCTTTCTGGAGGTTCAGAAACCCCAGCACGCGTTGCACCCCGTGACCTGGTGAGGAGCAGGCGCTCCCCTGAGCATGTGCCGAGCGCGTTGCCGCGCTTGCCACCGGCGTGCGTGGCAACGGGACCGCAGAGCCCCTTCTCCGCCTCTTCTCATGCACGCGCAGGGCTTGGAGGGGCTCAAGGAAAGGGGCTTCTGGATTGTATGGGAAGCGGGGCGGTGCCGGTTTGATTTGACAGTCCTGCGGAACTGCAGTCCAGACAACGCTGGGGAGACTGAAGGTGCGGACGAAGGGCAGCTGCCCATTTTGCCTCTCCCGGTTTGTTTTATTTTAACGATTTCCGTGAAATGAACGTTGCCTGTGGCTTCTCCATTCGGAGCGGGGTTCCACGCTTGCTTCGGGCAGGGGACGAAGCCCCCCCCCCCCCCGCTGGGGGGCTCTTTTCTATCCGAACATGCGAAGAATTGCGCCCCCGATTCAGTTAAAATATGGATATGCAGCCTTTGTATCGACCCTAAGGCCCTAACATTTCAAAAAGCCATTAAAGGCAGCAAGATTTTTATTATATCTGTCAAACAGGAGAGATGTTTTCAGTGTTTGCTTATTTATTTATTTATTTATTTGAGTTGTATTGTGACCTTCAACTAGAACAAAATACAAGGCAGCTTACAATATTAAGGGCACGATTCTATGCATGTTTAAACAGAAAAAGGGCTCCAACTCCAAGCATGCAGAATAAATAATTTACACAGGGGTGGTCGTTTTAGGGCATTGCAGCAAAACAGAGATTTGGTACACCTTAAGGACGTAACAAATTTATTGTGGCACACGCTTTTTTGGACTGGAGGCCAAGAATGCTTTTGCCATGAGAAATGTGTTGGTCTTTAAGGTGCCTTGGATTGGTCTTCAGCGACTCTTCATTGTTGTTTTCTTTCCTGTTAAGAGCAATGAAACATCAGTGCATGGGAGGAGAACAGTGGCAAAAGCAGCGGGTCAGTTTTTGGTTTTAAAAAAGGCCAGTACCAATAAAATCAGCTTAGAAATGCTGGAAGCTCAGTAAAAAGAAGAAATTTCAGTAGTTGCAGCTGCTTTTGTCCTGAAGTGAGAAGTATTTATTTATTTAGCAACTTACATGCTGCCCCATTCACCTAAGCCTCGGGGCGGCTTACAAATAAAGGTCCGCCTGGTGCTGCCGTTATTTGTTTTTCAGCACCAGGCGAAGACCTTTTTATTCAAACGTTATTTTAATTGTTAATATTATTTATTTATTTATTTTATTCTTGGCCAGGTCTACTCAAATTATATTGTTTTTATATTGTGTTTATTTATTTATTATTGTGAGCCGCCCCGAGGTTTCGGCGAATGGGGTGGCATAGAAGCCTCATAAATAAATAAATAAATAAATAAATAAATATCATTAATACAATAAAGTTGGAGACATCCTGGCCAAAGTTGTTAAAATCAATAAATAAAATCAACAATTAAAATGACATTTAAATAAAAAGGTCTTTATTTTAAATAAAAGTAGCACCAGCCACACCCATTCAGCACCCATTTTTAAAGTTTTGGAATACATGACTGCTTATTATTTCCTGGTAAAATGCTCACTCTTATGTTAGATGTCACATTCATGTTCAGGCACTATATTTATTGGTTTATTTACAGTTTTTGTAACTCATTTGATTAATTGGATTGGCTCTCAGAACAGCATACAAATTAAGCAATCTAAACACATATACAGTATATTGCAAAATATCTCAACCAGTCATTGCCAGCCATCTATTCCAGCTTTCCCCAGCTATATTCCACTTTTTCCCAGCCTGGAGTCTTCTAGGGGGGTTAAATAACTTATGTATTTGTTTATTATATTTATATCCCACCTTTTTTCCTTCCAAGGAGCTGGAGGCAGCTCACATCATTCTCCTGCTCTTCATCTTATCCTCAGAACAACAACCGTTTGAGGTAGGTTAGACTGAGAGGCTGTGACTGGCCCAAAGTTGTCCAGTCACTCTCTGGCTAGTGGACGGGAGCCCAGCTCTCCTGAGTCCCAGTCCTGCACCACACCGATTGCCAGCCAGCCTAGCTAGTGAGTGTGCGGGTTGTAATCTAGCACATTTGGAAGGCACCTGGCTGCGGAAGGCTGTTTCATGCCTTCCAGAGGAGTTGCTACCAGCACCGGAGGGTGTTGTCCTTCTCTTCCATTTATATGCTGCCCCCCAAAATCCTGCTGGCCCTTGTAAGAAGCAGGGTGCTGGACTAGAGAGTCCTTTGGGCTGATCCCGCAGGGCTCTTAGCCCAAAGAGTATCCAAGCTGTATCCTCTGAGAGTTAAGTGCCAGGGATGACAACCTCCCATTGGCTTTGTGCCCCTAATAGTCTATTATTTACGCAGCCCCATCAGCTTGCTGAAAATGTCTTCCGAGGCAAACTACAGCCTTAGCTTCATTTAAGAAGCAAATGGAGGTGGGGTTGAGGGACTCCAGGCAGGAACTGCTCCCCTTTCATGCTGAACCTAGCAAAAGAGCTGTTGTAACAGGCTGAACGTGTTTGAAGGGGCGACATGTCTGCTGAAAAGACGTGCTTCCTGCACTGAGGGAGGGAGCAAGGAGAACACATTTTGAGGTACGCTGGGCATTACTGAGTATCAAGCGACATGTCGGAGCCCGCTTACCCTTCTGTCGGGGTGGCAGCAGTTTTTCTATTCAACCATAACTGTGCTCAGCATTTTCCCATTGCAGCCAGTGAGCCACAGGGGCAAACTGTGAGTTAATCCACCCACAGTTTGCCAGGATGTGTGCTGCTCACCCTGTTTGCAGAAGCAATTTACATGTTTGTATGTGACAGTGTGCCATCCAAACCCAGACACGCTGGATTGTGCAACCCACAAGCAACCCAGAGTATGCAGATCTCGTATTATGTTAACAACCTTAGTTGCTACACAAAGTGCAAATGCACAAGCGTAGTGCATATCTCTATAAATTGCTATCCCTTGATTTGCTGCCATGGGGGCAAACTGTGAGTTAATCCACCCACAGTTTGCCAGGATGTGTGCTGCTCACCCTGTTTGCAGAAGCAATTTACATGTTTGTATGTGACAGTGTGCCATCCAAACCCAGACACGCTGGATTGTGCAACCCACAAGCAACCCAGAGTATGCAGATCTCGTATTATGTTAACAACCTTAGTTGCTACACAAAGTGCAAATGCACAAGCGTAGTGCATATCTCTATAAATTGCTATCCCTTGATTTGCTGCCATGATGCATGAAGCAGATAAATGCCAGCCATTTGCTTTCTGTTAAAAGTCCTATGAATACAGTCAAAGCAGTGTTGGTGGGAGGGTCTCCATCTGTCCCGCCAAAGCCAGTCACTGAAGATCAAGCTTGCCGAACCTGCACAGCTGCGTGCTGGGTTTTTTTTTCTTTTGGCCAAAGCTTCCTCTTGCCCCTAGCAACCTGGCTGGGAGTCTGTGCGGGGGTCTGCATGAGGAAGGGGAGACAGGCACAACTTCCTCTACCGCAAATCCTTAAGTTTCCTCCATGCCTCTCCGTAGTCTGGAGCAGTGCAGGAAAAAATTGTTTACATCAGTGGAGTGGCTTGAGCTAAGAAGGAGGGGCCGTGTTTCTCTTCATTCTCTAAATGCGTCTTTGTGTCTCTGCGTGGACAGCCCCCCCAGCCCAGCGTTTCGATGGACAGGGAAAGTGCTTGCTCACTCACTTCCTGGATGCAGAGCTTGGCCCTTGGTCACAGTGGGTTGTGACACAATGTCAGAAGACCTGTACCTTTTACAGAGCGGTGGTGAAAATGATCATTTTGCAAAAATAACTTGTGGAGAGTTTATAAGCGCAGAGAAACACCGTCAGCCATGCATGATCAGAGATACAGGATTGGGGGCCAGAACAGCACTTGCGAGCTGCACTGACAAGATGTTATTTATGTCAGGATAACCTTCCTGGGATGATAGCTTTGCAACCTTGGCTCTACAAATAACCCCTTAAGTAAGCGAAGAAGATAAAATGCACAAACAGACAGGCACATACAGAGAGAGAGAGTAAATAAAAGAAAAAACATGTAACATATATGAGTACAAATGTATTTAAAATCGTTTTTCATTCTAAATCTACATATGAAATTATACTTACTTCAATCAGTACATTTCTCCTGAGCTACTTTTCGGTTTCCTAAACAAGCCCAGTATTTTTGTAGTAACTTAACTTTTTCATTAACTTAACTGTTCCAACCCTCTCTATGTAGTGGTGGTTGCATATTTTGCACTGATTGACTTAACACAGTAACTGTCATCATTTATATACTGTTGTTTCTTTAAATAATGTCAAAAGTGGCCCAAAGCTTTCTGACATCTTTATACACCTACCAGATATGCCTTAAATCTACTTTATCATGCATACATATTTAGCAGCAACTTTGTGCCAGATGAAATATCTGTTGTAGCCTATGGGGACTATAATCTCATAAATAAAATATTTCACAGAAATTCCCTTTAGCGGCAAATCCATAGCATAATTTGGGCTTTCTGCCAAATTACCTTCCATCGCTGTTCTGAGATAATTGATCTGAAACACTTCTACTGTCTGTTCTTAAGGCCTACTTTAACATCTTGTGCGCCAGATAACAATTTATATACCTTGAGTAATAACCCCCTTTGCCCCTGTAATTAGTTAAGATAGATTCAAGCTTTGTGAGGGATCTGAATAAATCATTGGGCCGTGACAAATGATCAAGACAGCCTTAGATTTGCATAAGTCTAAAGATGGGCATCTGTGTGCCTTGATGTGCGAGATCTCAATGGGAAACAATGCTGTCCTCCGTCGCGCCTTCCCCTCCTTCATCTCCGAAAGCCGTTTGAAGGCATAAATTGTGCTTGCAATTACCCTTTGGCATAGTAAAAAGGATCCAGTGTGAAGATGGGTGTCCGTGGCACTACATTAGGAACCAGCGAAGATTCTAACTGGGGTCCCCCATGTGGTTTCCATGGCCACTAGTGGGCCTGTGAGCTGCCTCTTGGCCCTGGCGGGATCCCTGTCCCTCTTAGCAGTTGTCTTCCCTTTTAAATTAGAATAACGAATCAAGGGGACTGCGGGTGGCACAGCGGTTTAAACTGCTGAGGCTGTCGTACTGCAAGTCCACCCACTGGCCTCCAGCACCCTCTTTGTATCAAAGTGAAACATTTCCGAATGTTGGCCATGGGTGCAGCGCTTCGTTTGGAAGCATGCCCCACTGTCCAGAAAAAAGCAAAAATCAAGCTAGGAAGTGGTAGGTGCTTGGAGGGGCGGGGAGAGGAAGCAGAAGTTTGCATGTGCTTAGTGTGTGCACATATGTGTAAAAGTTGGTTGGCTTGTCAACCATCTTGTGTGGTTCCTGAAGGGGTTTTGGTTCAGGGGCTTGTCTCTGTGCACACGTGTGCATTTGTGTTTGTTTCAGCATCACTTGTTTATGTTCTACAAAATGGGTGTTTCATGGAAGGGAAATAGAGTGATTTTGTGTTTCCAGGCTGAGGCGGTCAGATTCTCAGGCAAGTCACTCCACCATTTTGTGAAAAGACCCACCCAGCCACATCATGGCAGCCATTTCATTGTCTCGGTACTCCAAATGGACCTGCTGGGCCAAAAAGCAAGCAAGCAACCAACCAACCAACCAACCATAAGATAAACCACAATAAAACAAATAACAACAATTTAAAAATACTAATGCAATACAGATGAAAATAGAAAATGAAGGTTTAGTGGTGTCGACTATTAAAATGCTTTTTTAAAAGGAAGGTCTTCACCTGGTGCCCAAAAGGGTATAAAGAAGGTATCAGGTGAATCTCCTTGGGGAGAGCATTCCGCATATGGGGAACAGCCACCGAAAAGGCCCTCTTCCTAGCAGCCGCCCCTCTCAGTTCCCTGGGGATGGCTCACCTAGGAGGGGTCCTTTCATAGATCTCAAAGGCCGGGCAGGCGTCTATGGGTGCAGGCGCTCCTTGAGGTAACCTGGGCCTCAGCTGCTTAGGGCTTTATAGGACAACACAAGCACCTTGAATCAGGCCTGGGCCACAGCTGGTAGCCAATGCGGTTCTTTCAATATGGGTGTTATATGGGCCGCTCCAGGAGCTCCCATCACTATCCAAGTGGCCCCTGTTCTGTACTTTTTGCTTGGTCTATAGCAGCTCTCCCCAATCTGTTGCCTACCAATGTGTCATGCTGGGGGTTGACTGTGCAGGCTGGGGGTAATGGGAGTGGCATTCCATCACTTCTGGAGGGTGCCGAGTTGGAGAGGAATGGTCCATGCATTCCCTGCATCCATTCATTTAACAGTGATCATCAAGGTTCAGTATCTCAGTATGAGCTGCTGCTGCTGCTGTTGACACATAGCTATGAATAACGCTGCTTTATAAAATAAATGTATTGATAATGGACTACAGAATTTGGATAGTATGTGCAGTAGATTCAAAGCCACAAATACGATCTATGAAAGCACATTCATATTAACTGCTCCAACAAGGCTAAGCTGTGACAACTTCCCTTGGGTCCATCTTTTAACTTCCAAAGAAATATCATTACTTACTAAAATGATTAATCATTTCTGAAATATCACCTAATAATTACCAAGGAACAGATATGATTTTCCCATTTGGCAACCATAATACTGGCTATCCCTGCTTTTACTATTTCAGCAATACCTGCTTCTAATAATCCTGACCTATTTGTGTGATGGATTTTATATTGTGCCCACATGCCAAATTCCTGCATATTAAACCACAGGGGAGAGAGCGGGCATCCTTGTTTGCAGTATTTTATTTTATTGACTCAACTGCAAAACTAGCATGGACAGGGACAGCCGTGTCACCTTCTCAGTCACTCAGACATGTTTCTTGGCAGTATTTTGCAGGAGATCAATGAAGGCGTTTCTAAGGAGTTCTGAGGGCATCCTGGCACTGAGGCCAAAGAGAACCACCATAGGGAGGCACGAGGATTCAGACATTATTCTTAAGGTGATTCTATGAGGGTACCTGCCTATGAAGCCAGTTGTCATTGAACTTCTTACAAGGTTTTACAGGAAGGCTCTTCTTCTGGCGTGCTGGCATGTGTGCCAGCCTGGTGCTCGCCACACATACCGGGCGACAAAACACAGCGCCCTGGCGGCGAGGTTCTGGGAGCTGCGACTGAGGGCATCGGGCTGGGGCAGGATGCATGAGGAAATGCCCAAGCACACGAGGAGCCTTCTGCCACACCCGCCGTCCGCCACGCACAGATACGGGTCTGCATTTGGCTTGGTAGGTCACCCACTCTCCGCAGCTCACATGTCCTGACTGACAAAAGCTCTTGCACCTCCCACTCCTGACTGGTGGGTAAGAAAATAGCATGTCTGTCACTGCCTGTGGGTGCGAAAGCTGGGCAGTGAAGCAAGCGGGATGTGGTTGAAGCCTGGTGCTGGGGAAGAGCTTTCCGAATACCCTGCGGAACAGTGGGTCCGAGGTCAAATCAAGCCAGAACCCTCCCTGGAAGCAAATAAACCAAAAGATGAAGTTGGTGCAGATGTCCTAGGGAACGCTAGGGAAAGTCAAAGGTAGCAGAAGAGCCAGGCCAACCCTGAGATGGATTGATTCCATATGGAAGCTGCAGCCTTGACTTTACGAAAGCTGGGCAGGGCGCCAAGACCAGGCCATCTTGGAGGTGACTCATTCACAGGGTTGCCCTGAGCAGGGGATGACTTAAAGGCACATAACATGGTACTGGATGTGTCTGCAAGGCAAAGGAAATTGCTTCGTGATCCAAGCTTTGGGTGGTATTTTTGCCTTTAAAACAGACATCAATGCTTCTGTTGAGAGCACAGACTATTTGTATCCGGGTTCACACAGGGGAAGTGATGTTCAAAGAGAGCACAGAGGTGACTTTTGCTCTTAAAAAGTTTATAGCCTGCAGGCAGCCCTCCAGACATACTTAAATGGGAAGCTGTTCCATTTGAAAGTCAGGGCCCCAGAATCAATAGTCTTCCCTGCCCAGGGAAAATTCGTTGTCAGATGCCAGTCTGGAAAGAGTTCTTCAAAGCTGGTTCTCAAAATCTGAAAAGCACTGTAGTAAATTCTAATATAATATAATATAATATAATACTAGTTTGTAGTTGAGTTATCTAAATTAATTCATTGGTTACCTTTAAGGATTTTAAATTTATATTATAAATCTTTCTCTGGTAGAATGCAAATGGAAATCAGAATGCAGCACTGAAGTCACAATATGGCAGCATCAAAGTAAAATTCAGGCTTCTGCCCACGGTTGGTGTTAAGCACCGTGTGGTAGAATCGGAGAGTTGGGCGGAGTGTTCAGGTCCATCTGGTCCAGTTCCTTGCTCAGGGCATGAGCTGCAGTGCAGGATACAAAAATCTTGTTGCTTCAGTCACTGCTTCAACTTCTCTCGCGAAGGGGGTCTTGCCACCTCCTGAAGAGTTGACAAACAGCTGTTATCATTGGGAAGTTTCTCTCCTAATGTTAAGGTAACATCTACCCCCCTGCAATTTCCATGGCAGAAATGCAGCAAGACCAAGCATCTGGTGTGATCTTGGCCTGCCTCTCTCTCCATGAAGAGGGAGAAAGACAGTCAGGGATATTTTATTTCTAATAATTGCTGATTGATCCTATTTACCAAACATATGAAACAGAACATGGGAAGTCCTTGCAATATAACCAGAAAACCATTCTGTCTTTTGCCTAGCATGCTTCCACAGTGATGGAACAGGAAGGCATATGGCATTAACCAAAACTGACCTTTAAAAAAGCAACATGGCATGTTATAAAAGCCTGATAAAATCTCCATCCCAAAATAAAATCTCTATTCCCTGGGTCGGGGTTGTTGTTGTTGTCTGTTGCTGCTGCTGCTGAGTCCTGAAATGTGATTTTCAGTCTTCAGGGGTCGAAGGCCACCATGCCGCCATTGAGCTGAGTGATTCAGAGAACAACTTCATTCTTCGGGATTTCAACTCAACCCATGGAACGTTCGTGAATGATTGCCATATCCAAAACGCAGCAGTGAAAGTGAGCCCCGGGGACATTTTGCGCTTTGGTGCCAGCGGGCCCTCCTTTGAGCTTCTGCTCGAAAATGCGCCTCAGGTAAGGGTGGCGTCATCAGCTCCCTGACCAGGCCGCTGCATGATGCCTTTCTTGGGCCTCTCTGTTTCCCACTGGTCCCTTCTAGCAGCTGCCTTAAAGATACGCAATGTCTACCCAGTAGTGGCTGGATATTGGCTAGCTAGATTGGCCCAGAGAGCAACGAATGCGGCGGAGCCCCCCTCCAAGCTGTTCGAAGTGCCTTGGTTCAGCTTTATACCACACTGGGAAAAATGTGGGCTGAGTTCACATCCCCACAGGGAGCTCACTGGCTGCCCTTTGACTGGTCACTGCCAGATCCAAGTAACCTCCCTTTGGCTGTTTTGATGACAAAAGGGGAGGAGCACTTTGTGCAGTATTTGTGTGTGTGTGTAAGGAATTTATGTGCTGCTACTGTAGCCCTATCTGGGCTCTTTGCGAGTATTATCCCGAGCTTCCTGTTGGATGGAAGGATAAAAAGGTAAGGAATGGTGTGGAGGCAGCCACTGCTATCTGCGTTGTTGAACCATGGGGGGCATCAGCACCATGCCCGTACCAACGTGTGTTAGTCTCGCTGCACTTAACAAAGACGGTGTGTGCTATATTTGACACAAGCTGGGGGCCCATGGGACATGGGGCAAACGTAACTGACCGGGAAGGGTCTGCACTGTCCCGGGAGCGCCGTAACAGGGTGCTCTGGGACCGGCTCACCTGGTCTAGCCTGCAGTGCAGTTGCCCCGGAGGGTTTGGCGGCTGAGGTTTCGGACTCAGGGATTCGTTCTGCTCATCCAGCTCGCGTCCTGAGCAGGACAGGATGGGCCTGCGGCTACGCTTTGCCTTGCACTCCGCATGGTGGAACTGGAGTAGAATAGGAATAGCGGCTGTCTGTGCCTCACAGAATCAATCCCTGACTCTCCCGTCTCTCCAGGCAGGTACTTTAAGCTGCCTCCTTCATACCTTAAAGGGGCAGGAGCGCGACCTTAATTAGCTTCTCCTCCCCCCCCCCCCACTTTCTCTCACACACACACCTGTCGTAGCTTCAGAATGGCCCAGGCTTGCACAAGCCTGTCGCATTCTGGATTTGGGGGTGGAATTGGGGTGTGCGTGTGGCTTCCTCCATGGCATGAACTTTTTCCCGGCAGGTGTCCTGTCCTCCAGTGGGTCGCCACCCGGCTTGGTCTGGGCCGCTGCAGATAGTGACCGAAGCGAAACCCCCTCCAGCCCCGGCTGCCGCCCAGTTTCCTTCCCTGCAGTCTCGGCGGTCGCCTCCCATTAATCGCAGCTGGTCCTTTGCGGCAAGCGGGACTTCGCCACATCCACCACTCGGAAGGAGGCCCGTCAATGCCTGGGGTCGGGCTGTCCCTTCACCGTCTTTCTCTCCCGATGCTTTCAGCAGGCCTCCTGCAATTGTATCAGGTATTAATCGGCTTTTCGCAATTTTTGTTTGGGGAATGAGGGGGCCTGCCTGAGGCTTGGGGGCACAGTGTCATAGAAACGCAGAAACAGAGGTTCAGAAGGGCTTCACTCATGACGATTAGGTCTGAGCGTCTTTCTTTTGAATGAATTGGTCTACTCACAGCGATAGTACTGTTCCCATGGGGTCTGTGGGCCAGGTAGCAAAGCACTTGACAGCTGGATCAGTAGCTTACCTTTGTTTTAAAATAGGAAAGGGAGAAAAAGCCCTTGGACTACTTTGAGGACAGTCAGCCTCCACTCAGCTGGGAGTGAGGCTGACTCTCCCAAAGTTTTCTCTCCCACCGTTGCGTTGATCCGGTGAAGAGGAGGGGATCGAGAGCGCCCTTCAACCCGAATGCCTGAAAGCAGAGTGCCTCTGCTCTAGGGAACTTGGATTGCCTGCTGCAAGTGCTGTGTGTGGTGGACAACCTCTGGCCCTTGGCCTGGTTTCAGAATCAGCCCAGACCTCAAACAAAGGCCGTCTGTTCCTTTGCTGGAGGCTCACTGTGTGCAAGAGGGAAGGAGCTGCAGGTGGGGCAGGAAAGGAGGTGGCAGAAATCCCTAGGAGGGCGTGCAAACCTTAACCGAAACGCTTTTTCCACCCCTACCTTCGCAGCGACATCTTGACACTCTGTAAACAAAAACAGGTCTCTGCCTTCAAGCTGCTTACAGCCTAAGCATCTACCCGGAGAGGGTCGGGGAAGGGAGGGAGAATGAGTGCAGCAGTAGGGAGGGGTATGTTGAGAGCCCCGAGGCTGCAATTCTCGGTTGGGAATGAGAATAGAGGGGCTGAGCCGAAGGCTTCAGAGAAAAGATGGCTTTTGAGGAGCAGTTTGAAAGGAGAGAAAAAGGCAGCATCCATGACACACTTGGTTTCAGCGGATGGTGGCAGCATTCTGCCCATCTTCAACCTGAAATATCATTGACAGGACTTGCAGGAGCCAAACTAGTTCTAGCTGGCTTGAAAGGTGCCAGCTGCACTTGGCTGCCCTATTTTGGTTTTATGCCTTTCATCTTTCAGGCACTTTCACAAATAAACGGTGAGGGAAAATAATGACTCCTCTCCCCCTCTAGCGTTTATGTTCAGAACGTGCCATGCTCCCGGGTGGGAAGGGTGTGTGTAGAGCCGGGGAGCGGCTTGTTAGTGCTTGAGACCGGCTGGCCAAAATGCGCGTTCGTGCAGGGTAATAAAAAGGTGTATGTTGAGCTCGGAGTATGTTGAGCTCGGAGTGTGTCGTCTTACACGCTGCCGATTCTTTGAGCGTCTGTTCTGTTGCAGGTAATGGAGTTACTGCAAACGCTCATCAAGGAGATGCGCTTCTCAAGGAGAGGGTAAGCGACTTAGGTTGAAGTGTGCGGTACCTCTGAGAAAGGCTCCCAGAAGGCAGCTTGGCAGCTGGCCCAAGGGCCTCTCCCATGTCCAGTGGGGCGCATCCCCCAGGGCAGGTCCCCACCAGAGCTCCTGCAGTGACTTTTTGGGTGCTGCAGAGCGTTCTGTGGAAGGAGGACACATTCTTCCCTGCACAGGCTGAAGCCACCACATGCTGCTAGACTGCAAAGCACACCAGAGCTGGAGCAGGGCTCTGGAAACTAGGGCCGCCCAGGCGATGGCGATGGCAGTGTTGTTGCTGATACATTATTATTTCTGAGGGTGGCCCTTTGCAAAGCATAAGGGCGGGGTCCCTGCCCCGAGGGGAGTGCAATGTGTAACGCACTACAGAAGAGACATCACCAGAAAGGGAAGGAAATGGTTTCCGCCTGATCATTATAACCCACCCTTTTCACAAATGTCTTAGAACAGCTCACGGGCAAGATAACTGCACTTTTTAAGTCTGTAAACAATGTCAACAATAAGGCTTATGAAAGCAACTTAAACTTTATTTGGTAGAGATACAAAGCTAAAACAATAAAAGCCCTGGGAAAGTAAAAAATACTTACCTGATATTGAAGGGATGCCAGAGCAGGTACCAGGCACACCTTTCTGGGCAGGGCATTCCATCGCCAAGGTGCCATCATTGAAAAGGCTCTTCCTGCCTTAGTCGTCTGGTTGGGACACGTGGGGAGAAGTCCCAAAAGATGCTTTCAGAGTCCTGGTAGGAGGATGTGAGGACAGATGATTCTTGAGGTACCCTGGTCCCAAGCTGTCAAGGATTTTCACCATCGAAACCAGCCATTTGAGCCTGCATTTATTTCAGTTACGTGTTGCTTCAGTTTTGCCTTCATAAGAATTCTACCACATGATGAATTTCAGGGTTTTAGAATTTTAGGGCATGTAAAAAAATCTCAGGCAAACGCCTGACTTAGCTGTTGCAATGCACATAAAATTAATAATACAGCTTTAGCTTTCTTGAGGAAAAGGTGAAATAGAGGCTTGTTGGGATCAAATGCCATGTTTATTACAAGCAGCTTTATTTCTGTGCACAGGATGAGTTGATTTTGAGAAAGGGAAATGAAATCAGTCGTCTCTCCAGCTTTGAAAATGAGTGCAGTCACAAAGACACAGTGATAGCTAATCTGCAGAGCGAGATTGCAGCAATGACAGAGAAAATAAATGTAGTTCTTGCCAAGAAAGATGCCGAGTTTTGCACGAAGCTGGCAGGCCTTGAGCAAGAAGTTGGTGCAAAAACAGAAGAGATTAAAGCCTTGCGAGAGCAGGTATGGGGTTTTTCTGGGTACTGATGGGCTCCTGAAGCTTAAAAACAGGGGAAGCTGCTTATGCTCAATCAGACTATTGGCTGAGAATTGCATGGGCCATTCCAAAACCTCCCGAGACATGCCAGAGATCAGGCCAGGGCCTTTAGCATTCAACATATGTGCTTTACCGCCAAACCTAAATGCTCACAGTCTTGGTTTGGCTGTCAAGTCCAAGGGTTGCATTTTCCTCAGTCCGGCTCTGTGTTCCTTTCGCTCCTGAAGTGTAGCATGATTTTCCCTCTGTAGACATAACAGTGAACTGCAGGTTGCCATAAATCAGAAAATCCAGGAAAGATCTGGCGTTTGTGGGCAAAGGGAGGCGTGTGTCTGCATTTGGTCCATGCAGGTGATGCTTTCATGGTTGGTGCAAAATCTCTCTTGCGCCTTGTGTGCATGCAGCACACCATGGGATTGCACAACATGAACTAGCTGTGTTTATCTTTCATTCCTACTGTCTTTTTGCAACAGATCAACCATTTGCAGCAAAACACCAGTGAAGTTTTGTACCATTCGCTTTCTGAACGAGACCTGCAAATTGCGAACTGGAAGCAAGAGAATGAGAAGCTGAAGAAGAGCTATTCTCTCACAGCAGGTATATTTTGTGTGAATCCTGTCTTTCCAGGATGCTGCTTTGGCAGAGTTTTACAAGGTTGGTTGCCTGCTTGGTCATACTTTAATTTATCTGCTTTTATACTTCTGTTCTTTCTTTGGGAAGGTCAGGATAGCTTCTGACGCTCTTCCAGGCAAGTAATCTCCTGCCCAGGTTTAGTAGTAAAAAGAGCTAAGCAGTTGCCTAAGCACTGGACATCCCACTGCCGCCATTCAATATATTGGACTGTGGATGGCTGGAGGGAAGGGCTAAATGGCCTCCCCTTTGCCAGTGGCTGACAGCGGCAGCCGCATGAGTATGGGCGGGGGGTGGGGGGGATGCCATCCAAGAGCGAAGCTGTGCTGGAGAGGATGAGAGCCGCCCCACTGTTACCTCCTTCTTTTATGCAAACCTCCGTGTAGATCTTTGGGGGATCAAGAGGCTGAGCAGAAATCAGGCTGAATAGGCTCCTCGCTCTCAGGCAGTCCAAATCACCTTTCTCAGCCATTCTGAAAAGCATTTGTTTCCTTTAAGGCATTGTGAAGACTTTTGCCCTTTAGTTTGCATTGGATTTAAATGCTGCCGTGATTTCTCCTTTACTCTCACAGGGCTGGTGACCAGTTTGCAAAAAGACATTACATCCAAGGACCAGAAAATACAGCAGTTGAAAATGGATGCTGAGAAATTCAGGCGAGAGAGCAGGGAAAAGGACACCCAGCTCGCCCATGTGTCAGCCCAGGTGAATCATTTGTTTTTGTCGAGCTCTGTTTGGACTCAGTAAATGGAGCTGGGTGCCCTCCCCCTTGCCCAGCTTTGAAGATTTGGGCCCGTATTTCCATCCGGCCTCCATTCTCTTCTTTCCTTTTGAATAACTAACTGAAGGAGTCTTGGTGTGATACTGATTCATTTGTCCACTCTTGGGACAGCAAGCCCTGAATTCAAGGCAAGTCACTTTGTTATCCCTCACAAGAATCTTGCAAGGCATTCCCACTTTGGTCCCTGCAGATCTGTGAGCCAGCTCTGTGCTCCATGCAGCTGATCAGAGGAGGGAGCTGCCAGCTGCAGGGGGCACTGCTGGTCAAAACTCTTCCAAGAATTGCAGAAAGCTGCTTTCTCTTGAAGCAAACCACTGATCCACCCTGCCCAGTAAGGTCAGCTGATTAGCGGAAGCTTTCGAGCCCTCCCAGGGGTTGAACGAGACCGAACCTGTCTGCAAAGCCATTGCTGTAGCGCTGAGCTATGGCATATAGCCGAAGCCAGTGTGATGGCTCGGTTAGAGTGTGACCTGGGACTTGGAAGACCCGGGCTCTAGTCCCCACTCAAGCATGAAGCCAGTGGCTGACTTTGGGGCAGTCACGGACACTCGGCCTAACCTTCTGCACAGGCTTGTTGTGAGGCTAAAGGGGGAGGAGGAGGATTCCATAATCTCCCTTCGGTTCCTCACATGAAAAAGGAGAGGACGTAAATATGATCAATAAATAAATGGCTACTGCTCTTCCTTGCCTTGGACTCCACTGAGGTCAGGCTGCCCTCTTGTGGCTCACTGGCGATTCCTGCTTCCTTCAGCTGTATGCCTTCCCGTGCCTGTTTCCACATCTGTTCCCTGGCTCCCCAAGCCCAGCCGGCTGTTCCCCTGCTCTGTGAATCACTAATCCCCCCTTTTTTTGCATGATCACAGTCACACTGCTGCTTATTGTGTCTCGAAAATCGGCTCCTCCTCTTCTGTTTAAAGCTTGCCTTTCAAACTCGCCTCTCCCTGCCTTAGTAGCCCAGTAATTGGCACTAGGGGTGGTGGGTGTCTGAGGGGCCCTGCATGAAAGCTGAGGCCCACCCCTGGCTTCTCCCCAGACGTCTGAGAACAATAGCTGAAGGGACCAGTCCCAAAAGATGGGGGAAAGCCATGGGCCCTTTCCAAGAGGCGGAGGTTCAACTCATGCAGGCTTCCTCATTGTTAATAATTTCTGGTTTTTTTGCTGTTCTAGACCAACCTCCCCTTTTTTTTAATTAACAGTCTTTATCTAAGCCTTTTTATTTTATTGCTCTACCCCCTGCCTCTTCTGCATCCATTTTGCAAAAGCATTCCTAACCTGCAGGGTGCCAGCGGTTCTCCTGATCAGTATCAGCACCTCAAATGTCCGGGATCCAAAGGGGCCTTCGCAATAAATTAGCTGCACCCAACAAAATATCAGTGGCCACAATATTTCTGCTAGACTACAGTTTGATTTCAGAAGTGCCCCCACATCTGTGTGGACAGATGTGGCTTCAGGAGAGTCCTCAGCAAGCTTGCCTCCCTGATGCTTTCCTGGTGCTTGCGGCAGGTGTGACAGCAGATGATGACAGCAGATCAAGCCTGATCTGTGACAGCGGATCAGGCTTGAGCCGGACTCCATCCGAGTGCTTCTGACTGGACTCCTGGTGGTGCCAGTCACCGGCACCCGCCCCCTTCCAAACCAGTAGAGTGTCATGGCTCAGGACCAAAAGGCTGCTATTGGCAGGGCTCCGAGGAGAAGTCAACCCAGTTCTCCAGGCCCCACTAACTGAGGCTTCCTCCTGGGAACCCATGTCCTGCTCCACACGGTGGCCGTGTCCTCTGGCTCCAGACTGTCCAAGGAGCAGGGAGCTGCTCGGAAGCGTTTCCCAACTGGCTGTTTGCTCCCCGGTCCCCCTTCCCCCAGGAGAGATGAGGGACTGTCGGAAAGGGTTAGGGACTTTCAAGAAAATAGATGCCACCCTTGAGGAGGTGGAACTAGAAGGATTTTTCTGGTACGGTTATAAAGTCTCATCAGTTGCTGCAAACCAGGGTAATTTGTCTTACATACTTGCAGGATCACTATGATGTTCTTGAATCTGAGCTCACAGCCTCTAAGCCAGCACTTGCAGCTCTTTTAGGGTTCTGGTTCAACGGAATTGCTTGACAAAACATCATGGGTTATCAGAAACAGAAACTCTCCTTTTACAAATCTTTGGTGCAATCACACTTGGAATATTGTCTTCCTTTTGGTGAAAAAGGGCATTCTTGAGCTGGGAAAAAGTATGGAGAAGGGCAGTGAGAAGGATCAGGGGCTGGAGCGGCTGCAACAGCTGGGACTGTTCAGCTTAGATAAAAGCAAGTAAGGGCGACAGAGGCGTTTAAAATTCTGCATGGTGTGGAGAAAGTGGGGAGGGTGATGTTTTTCTCCCTCTCCCATAACACTTGAACCTAGGGCCATCCCATGGAGCTGATTGCTGGGAGCTTTAGGACAGAGAAAAGGAAATCCTTCCTCGTGCAATGTATACTTAGACTAGAATTCAGTGCCATGGGGAGTGGTGGTGACTGCCAGTCTGCATGGCTTCAAAGGGGGAGTGTCCCTGTCCCATCCACAAAGGAGGCGGCTCTCCGTGGCTGCTAGCCTTGTGGGCTCTGCTTCCTCCTGTACCGGAGGTGGCATGCCTGCGCACACCCATTGCCGAGGAGCTTGGGTGGGTGGGTGGAGGGGTCCTGCTGCACAGATCCTACGGGCAGCTGGTTTGCGTGTACAGAGTGCTGCACCAGATGTCCCTGGGGTCTGACCCAGCGGCGCCTTTCTCGTGGTCTTATGCTCTTGAGTCCTTAACTCATTGCTGAAGCATGACGGTGCTGCCTTCAGCAGGGATGGTGGCTACCCTTCCCTGGCAGCGGCGAACCTTCTCCCTTCCTGGGCTCAAGGACAAGTTACAACAGAGAGTGCATAGGCTTAACATGGGTGGGTGGGAGCCATCGCTCCATCAGGTCCACTGATCCCTGGGCAGAACAGGGGTGCCCAGCCTGCTGATCAAATTCGCAGGCGACACTAAAACTGGAGCAGTGGCCACAACTGAGAGCAGGTAGTCCAGATCCAAAAGGACCTGGACAGACTATGGAAGTGGGCAGGAGACAACGGGATGGCCTTTAATGTGGATAAGTGCAAGGTCTCGAACTTGGGGCATAGGAATGGGTGTCATAAGTACAGGTTAGGCGATAAGTGGCTGGAGAGCAGCACTTGTGAAAGGGACCCCGGGGTGCTGGTTGACTGCAGGCTAAACATGAGTCAGCAGTGTGATGTGGTGGCCAAGAGGGCGAACTCCACCCTTGGTTGCACAGCCAGAAGTGTGGCTTCTAGATCGAGAGAGGTGTTGCTACCACTCTGTGTGACTCTGGTGCGCCCGCAACTGGAGTATTGTGCTCAGTTTTGGGGCCCTCGTTACAGGAAGGATATAGCCAGGTTGGAGTCAGTGCAGCGTAGGGCCACAAGGTTGGTGGTCGGTTTGCAGGGGGTGGGGTATGAGGCGAGACTGAGGGAACTGGGTCTCTTCAGCCTGGAGAAGACTCAGAGGGGACCTGTTGGCAACATACAGGTATGTGAGGGGGTGTCACACGGAGGTGGGTAGAGACCTGTTCTCCCCTGCAGAGGAAGGCAGGATGCGCTCCAACAGAGCCAAGCTCAGGGAGTCAAGGTTCCATTTGGATGCCAGGAAGCATTTCCTGACAGTCAGGACGCCGAGGGTGTGGAATGGGCTTCCCCGGGAGGTCGTTGAGGCCCCATCGGTGCGGGTGTTCAAGGATAGGCTGGACATGCACATGGTGGGCATGTCGTGAGTGGAGCTGGCTGGAGCTAGGGGTCAGACTAGATGGCCCAGGAGGCCCCTTCTGACTTGCTCTGTTTCTGTGTTTCTATGTTCTAGAAGGGGAAACACTGGGGGCAGCGCAGGTGTTTAAAGCTGGCCATTGGGCTGTGAATCCAGTCTGCACTTCTGCTTTTGAGGAGCAGAGTGGGCTGCTTAACCGCCTCCCTGAACCCCCTTTTCTTTAGTGGGGGGCTGCCAAGCAGCAGGTGAACTCAACTCCTAGCTATTGACCCATAGCTGACCCTCCCGTGAAATTTTGCAAATGGCTGGGCTGACGCATGGCCTGGAGGTGCGACAAAAGTCACCCGGGAGGGGTGGCAGGACAGTTTTGCATGTCAGTCCCTGCAGGCCCATTTGTTTTGATTTTAGCATATTTTAAAGAGCTTCTTTTCAGGCTCTGTAGTAGAATTAATTTTCCCCAGGGTCATGGAAACTGCAGTTTTGGCAGTACTGTGCTGGAAGAAAAAGGCGATTCTGTTTTAATACCATTGGGAAGAAAAATGCTGGTCAGCAAAGTGGCACCATGAAATTAATATATAGACTGTAATTTAGGAAAGGGAGAGATAAACCTGCTGAAGGTATCGGGGTAATTTAAAGTTTTGGGAGAAAATACAGAATTTAAGAATTGCCTGAATCGAGAAGAAATAGATTTTAAGTACATTCTTTTTTTTCCTTATTAAGTAGGCTTTACTGATAAATGATTTCATCATTTAGATAGCTATTTATAAGTAAAATTTTTATACAAAATTGGTTTTTCTGGTACTATTTTACTAAAGTATGTAAACTTCTGGGATAGTACTCTGATATGTTAAGTGTTTTAGATTTACAAAAAGCCTCTTTATAGTAAAGTTAAAACAGAGGGTAGGGGTAGAATTGAGACAGAACTAATATTTTAAATGATTCCTTTTAAGAGTTTAAATAAAACCTTTTGAAAATGTGAGGCAAGAATCTACACAGAAGACTCAACAGGACTGATTCTGAGGTAAATTTGTATAGGATTGGAGCAATCCTATAGAACAGGCGTCTCTAATTAGATGCTGATGGGATGTATTGGGCTACAAATCCCAGTATCCCCAGCCCAACTGGCCATTATCCAAGTGGTCTTGGGGCAGTGAGCATCGCAGTCCATCAAATCCCGCGGCCATCAAGTTGAGCAGGCCTGCGGTACATTTTATGAGCAAGTCAGCACCCTTGAAACATGTGTGGACACACAACGGAATAGTCGGGTGCCTGGGACGAGTTGAAGATACTAGTATTTCAACTGGATTCTTCCTTTTTTTAAACGTTGAGATATTTTAAGAAGCATTGATCCCTTTGCTGCCCAAGTCGAGTCACGTCATTCGATCTTCAGAGCAGCAAGAAGGTAGCACCGTGTGCCACTACCCCCGGTGTGACTACAAGGGGCACCTCTTGCGAGTGGTCACGTTTTCTTTCGTTGCTGTGTGTTGCAGTGCTCTAGAATTAAGGCGGAAACAAAGCACGACCTCAGAGAGAGAGAAGTAAATGCGTATCAGAATGTGAGTCAGCCTTCAGCTTCCTTCCTTACCAGCATGTGTAGCTATAGGCGTGAACGGGAAAGCGGCTTACTAATGGTTTGACCTTTGCATTACTTTTAGCGATCAACGTTGCAGGTGGGGCTGCTGCACAGCAGACTGTTTCCTCCTGACCAGAATTCCAGCCGGCTCGTCATGCCCCATGTCAGGATACTTGATCCCGTTCCCCCTTTTCCGTTTTTCTTCGCTAGCGGACTAGTCAGTGTCCCTGCTTACCAAGCATGCGTGGACCTCACTCAGTTGTGCTTTTGTGAGAAGAGGAGGGATCTCCCTTTAGTTTTCTTAATTCTACACTGGTCTCTTTATACGTCTGTGAAGCCTTCTGAAGACTGCTGAAACCACCCTCTAGGATCTCCCTAGCCCAGTTTCAGCCACCATCCTACTAGCTTTCCCCACTGGGATTTGTAAGTGGAAGGAGTGATTAAAGACTGGACATAATTCCAGTGTTACTGAAGGAGAATTGGGCTCTTGGCAGCAACTAGCTGCACAACTGGTAGGAGTGGCAACACCAGCAATAGCACGGGCACCGTGGCGGTCGGCCCTGACCCAGGGGAGCACCGCATGCATGTCTCACGTACTAACTGAGTCCCCGGTGGAAGGGCAGTTGCGTTTTCCCTTCTGCTGACCCTGCTTTCCGGGTTCCTTCGCAGCATATCGGTGAGCTGGAGCTACGGGTGAAGCGGTCTGAAGAAGAAATAAGGAAGTACCGAGCCGAGCAGGAAGCCTTGAGCAGCAGGCTTGCGGACAAAACAAAGGCAGGTGTCCACTGTCAGTTTTTTGCAAAGATGTTAATAAGGTGCGACCCAGTGGGGGATCCCTGATGCACTAGTTAGGATGGGTTCAGAGCTCCATGATCCAGAGCGTGTTTTAGAGGCATCCCTAATTTATAGTCCTGCACAAGGGCAGGGTCTGGCTCACCACTCGGTGGCAAAATGGCAGCCATTGAGTGGGCACTCTGGTTGAGATTATTATTTTTTTTATTATTTTTATTAATTTCTATACCACCCATCAGCAAAGCTCTCTGGGCAGTTCACAACATGATATAATGACAACAAAATACAACACAACAGCATTTAAAACATTTAAACATTCATTAAAATAGCATTAAAATACATTAATTACAATGAAAAAGACCCAGACAAGGAAATAAAAAGGCACCTGGATAAACCCATCAGACCCCTAGATATCCAAGGAGATCTTTAAAGGCTTCCACAAAGAACTCGGTGCTGATAAGACGGCAGATTTGGCACCAGGAGGGCCATGGCAGGAAGGTTGTTCCAAACATGTAGGGCCACCACAGAAAAGACCCCCCCCCCCAGTTGCCAGCCTCCCATTTTGGTCTGCAGCCTGAAGCACCCTTGAAAATCCTGCCTGAACAGGTTTCATTTGAATTTGACATTAAAAAAAAAGATCATGGAAAAACAATAGCCACATTTTTGTCATATGCTGTTTGTCCAAGCATGGAAGGGGCTTAAGTGCCTGGTATATAGGAAGTTCCTGGATGGTTTTAGCAAAATGGGGCAGTGAAAGAATTTGGAGGATGGCTTACATGGCTTTGGAGGTATCAGGTGTCTTTCCCACCAGACTGTACTCTCTGTAGCAGGACTGTTCAGTGCTCTGGATGTTCCTACAGGAGATTGAATGTCCACCCAGAAAGGCGCATGCCAGCCCCAGTATGCAGAGGGAGTGGCGAGGACGGGCCTGCACCATGGTGCACCTGCTTGTTCCGAGACTGGCCCCCGAAGCTCTCGGCCTCTTCTTTTGCGCTCTTGCCTGCCAAGGCAGAGCTGCTGAGCTTCTCCTGGTTCTTGCAGCAGAGACAAATGGGAATATGGAGGCCTGATACTATACCTGGAAACGAGGTCACCAGGCCCTTATCCGTTGCGGGCCTCTCCTCTCAGTAGCGCCTCCTTCCTCCAGCAACGCACAAGCTACCTGTGGATTAATTGACGTTTTATCCCCGCTGTCCTTCAGGGAGCCCAGAGTAGCATCCTTGGGCTCCTCACAAGTCCTCTGCAGGGGGGTCATGCCGCGCTGGGGCTCAGGCCTGGATCTCCACCATCCAAGTCCAGCACCGGTCTCTGCGCTGCACGGTGCAAGCAGAGCACCGATAGTGAGAGGGGCCCTTCGTTTCGCCAGCCTGCTGCTACTTGGAATTCATTGCACCAATTCCTCCCGGGCCAGCTTTGTGACCCCAGTATCCTTTCTCTTCCCCCTTTTATTTAAAATATGGTTCATGCAGCTCTTAGGTGTGAAACCTTTGCAAGGTGGCTCACAAGAGAAAAACGCTGCAACCATGTGCAATATTGTTAATGATAACTACGTGGCAATAGCAAAACAGACGGCACCCACCCCCCAGTTCTCAAAGCAAAAGCCGGTGCTGCCCAACCCCTCTGGCGCCTCATAATGGGGCAGCAAAGGAAACCTTGGGAGAAGGAGCTGCCCGGGAGAGCCAGTGGTGGTGGGTGCCACCAAGCTGCCAGGGCCCAGCACCCATCCCTGCCTGTAGCCATTTAGACTTCCCACAATTCCCCTCAGGTAGCGTCAGACCAGGGCTGCATGGGAAATGGAAATGATTGATGGGAGGGCCCATTCAGCAGTGCTGCTACAAGGGCATCCTGCTATTGGCCCTCTGACGGAGGAGGCTGAGGCCTGCCAGGGCCCAAGACCTGAAGGCGGCCCGTGGTATATTTAAGACCGTCATGTCAGAAGCAACCGCAGAAAGGAAGGCCTGCAAAACACCTCGCAAAATGAGTTGTTGTGGGTCTTCACTCGAGTTGTGTTTTCCATCTGTAGCGTTATTTTTAAAATCAACATTTCTGCCAAATTCTCTACCAAATACTAAACTCCAGGATGTAACTCCCTCCTCGCAGGACAATTCCTGGGTCACAGGCTGAGAATCCCTTGCATTCTTGTACAGCCCAGCTATTCCCAGGCTTTTATTGTTTTAGGCTGAAGGGGACCTGAAGAAGGAGTACGAGAAGAGATCCCAGCAGTTACAGGAAATGGGGCGCAGAGAACGTCTCATGAAGTCGGACATGGAGCTTGCGGCAGCTCAGGTGGGAGCAGCTGACGAGCCGGTTGCTTTATGGGGCGCTCTGCAGGGGAGGAGACGCTGTGCATTATATCTGTAAAGTTGTGCATGTACGCACAGGCGCACACCACGCATCAGCTGGTAGAGGAAGCGGGGAGAACACCGTTTGTCTGGCCTACCGTATTTCTCCAGGTCGTGGGTGTCCCCGCTCTCATTAAAATTCACCACAGCGCCTCGTTCACTCTCCTTTTTACCTGTTAGGCGCAGCGCTTTCGGAACAAAGTGGTCGAAAGTCTCTCTCCTCAGCTTTTGGAGCAGTCCGCCACAGATCAACAGGTACGAGCCTTGCCTTTTCGCGGGGGATCAGTGTCATGCGGTGAGCCGCAGGGCTGCTTCAGCCAGCGCCTCCTCGGTGGCTGGTTAGTGGCCCCAGCTGCTAGCACGGAATGCGAGCCGGTGACGGACTGAGGCAGGTCACAGGTAAGAGAGTGGCCATGGCTCATGGGGGGGCGGGGAGCAGGTTTTGTGCCACTGTTTTGTCTGGCCCGAGCACGGCGTTTCTGGGAGAACCTGTCCAGAGAAGGGTGAAGCAACACCCTTGTTTTAGAAGTAGCACCGCTAGACTACTTGTTCGTTCACCTGTGTGTCTGTTGAACTAGCCAGATAGTGCCACAAGCACCCCAAGTTCCAGCTCTGAGGCTTTAGGATCTGTCTTTGCCACCCAGCCCTCCTCACTTCCGCCTAGTGTGGTTTATTGGCCAGTGCTGAGCTCGCACTGGGGAGAGCCAGCCCCCACTTGGCCACAAATTCGCCCTCACTTTGGCTCTCAACCTGGCCTGCTTCACAGGGTTGTTGCAAAGATGGAGTGCAGGGATTGCATACAAATCCTGAGTTCCGTGGAAGAGGATGGGATCGAAACAGAACAAATAGAACCCACTAAGTAAACAGTGCTTGGCATGAATGAACTTTATCTTCTTGTTTGTAACATCTAAAACAGTGGCAAGTCCTGGCACTTGGTGGCAGAGTGGCAGCTTTCACCTGCAGTGTCCCCGACTGAGTCAGGAAAGGTGCCTGGAAATTCGCTTCCCATCAGTGAAGACATACGCATGTCACAAGCATACGGGGAATGCTGGAAGCTGTAGGCCTTTTTCTGCCTAAACATGTGTCGGGTTGCACTTCGTTTTTCAAGGATTATTTGCTGGTTTGTGATGTATTTCAAACCGCTCTTCTAATGACCAGCCTGGAGCTCTCAGCATGCTCCAGTCACTTGTGCTGACATCTTTATATGCACACAACACACACACATACACACAGAGTGGGATACGTTGTGGAATTTCAGCAGATTCCAGTATTTTTGCACAAAGAAAAGGGTGTGGGCGACAAAAGTTTATTTTTAATATTTTTACTATTTAATGTGGAAGTAAATTTACTTTTTCTTTTTGTCAGGCGTATCAGCTGGGAAGCAAGACATAAACCATGCAAATAAGGAAACAGGCCAGTGACCCTTTCTTTCTTCTTTCTTAAACTGTGCATATCAGATCGTTGACAAGATAAAACAAATTCAGGCCTCCAACAAGGAATATATTCAGAGGGAGACATTGCTGAGAGAGGAAATACGTGCCAAGGATTCTGAAATGGAGGATGTATCTGGAAGTATCGAATTATTGAAGAAATCACTGGATGGATTTCAGGTACCACATTTTGGGTGCCATAGGCTGCCAGTTCTAGATCTTTTTTCGGTCCATGTGAGCAAGGGATGGCACCACCGCACCTATTTTGTAAATAATAAAATAGTAAAGTAAAATCATTTTGTAGGCAACTAAAACCAGCCCTGTACGCTTGAACACTTCGGCATGGTGCGTTCACGAGAGGACTTTTAGCTGGGTCCTGTGCATTTGTCCTCTCCTGACCTTCCCCAGAGAGGTCCGCCTGGCGCCGGTGTCATTTGTTTTTCAGCGCCAGGCCAAGACCTTTTTATTTGAACAATATTTTAACAACTGTTAATATTATTTATTTGTTTTAATTTTACAGCCAGAGCGAATCCGGATTTTACGTGTACTATTTATATGATTTGTTTGTTTATTGTATGGAAGCCATCCCGAGGCTCATGCAGTGGGGCGGCATACAAAAACTCCAAATAAATGAATAAATAAATAAATTTGTCCAGGAGCGAGCAAGAGCGTGACCATCTGCAGCTCTTTTTGGCAGACACGCAGAGAAAGGGACCACGGGTCGTCTGAGAATGCCCTGAATGCTCAGGCATCTTTAGAAGCCGTGTGTCGCTATGTTCTCGTCACTGAGGGCTTCCTCAGACTTCTCTGTGGCAACTGCGTTTTCAATGTCTGGACCGGCTCATTTCCCTGTGTTGGGACTTGGGGGCAAGGCCGTCATTATTTGTTGGCGCCAGGCCAAGACCTTTTTATTTAATGTTATTTTAATTGTAGAACTTATTTACTGATTTTATATTTATGCTGGGATGTCTCCAGATTTTTATATATTTGTATAGTTATTTATTTGTATTGGAAGCCGCCCCGAGGCTGTTGCGAATGGGGCGGCATATAAGTGTTCCAAATAAAGGAATGAATGAATGTGGTTGCTTTTTCTCTAGCATGTCTTGCTGCACTAAAGGATGTGGAAACAAGAGCACAGCCTGATTGATTGCTCGGTTGATCAGCTGTTTCCAAAACGACCCAGTGAGAAAAAATGTTTTTGCAGCTGCACTGAAATGTTGAGTGATCCGTGCCAGTCACACAGGTCTGGAGGTTTACTGTTCTTCTCCTTTTTTCTTCATCAGGATTTCCTGAAGACTTCCTACTGCAGCAGCAGCTTGAGAGAAGAGATGTGTCATCTTCAAGCCCTCTGCCTAAGCCCACCTGCCTCGGGGGTTCAGGCTTCGGTGTGTGAAGTCCTCTGCAGTTTGTTGCGCTGGGTGGACGCGGTGGAGCGGCTCCTCCAAGACGTGGGGATTGATGCATCCGACTCGGAAAAAGGTTCTCTCTTTCTCAAAACCTTTTGCTTGTCGATCTTGCTGCCTCCTCCTCGGAGCTCAGCGCGATCAGCTTTGCCTCCCCTGCCTGCAGCACATGCGGGAAATGCGAGCCCCTTTTCTTCCCTGGGACAACCCAAGGCCGGCTGCCTGGAAGCTCACCACGAGGCAGTGCCTAAGAAGCTGCCGCACCAGCCCTGCCTTGGACTCTTGCCCCTCGCGACTCGTAAGGACATCAGCAGAGCCCTGAAGCTGCTCAGATCAAGGGTCCTCTAGTCCAGCTTCCCAGTTCCTGCAGTGGTCCGGCTGATGCTCCTGGGAAGCCCCCAAGGATTCATGAGGGCGACAGCCCAGCTTTCTTGCCCCTCACCCCTCCTTCAGTGCAGTTGAATAGATCGAGGTTTTCTCATGGTGATTCACTCCACCACCTTCTCATGGGCTTGCCCGTTCTGAAGCCATCTGAACTCTTCATGGTCCTCATCTTGTCCTGCAGGGACTTTGTGGTTGTGCGTTGAGGGATGGAAGTGCTTTCTTTTGGCCTGTCCTCGGTTTCAGTGGGTGAATCCAGATTTCTGGCATTAGAGGGAGGGAAATCCTGCCTGTCCACTCTTTCTGTGCCCCTCACAAATTTATAGGCCTGATAGCTCCTCTCAGCTGACTTTTCAGTCCAGGCAGCCCTACATGCTTTAGCCTTTCCTGGGAGGGGAGGGGAGGGGAGGGGAGGGAGGTGCACGAAGCTCCTGACATTTTCTGCTGCGCTTTTCTGCCTGGGACTGGTGCAGAAGCAGCGAGAGCAGCAAGCTCCGCCCATTGAAAGCACCCCAGCAGCTTCTGATCCGAAGTCCAGTCCAAGCTGTGGCCCCTGAGAACATGTTGCCGCTAGGCCACCCACTCTGAGGAGGCTGGGAGCGTCGTCCAGCCCGTCTGGAGGAAATCCGGTGGAAGAGGGCAAAGATGGCGCCTGCTCCTGTATGGCTTCAGAGAGAGCCAGCGTGGCCTAGTGGGTAGAGCATTCTCCTGTGATGCAGGAGGCCTGAGTTCTAGTCCCTGTTCAGCTGTGCAGCTTGCTGGGTGACCTTGGGCCAGTCATGGATTGGACCAGGGTGGGTGTGACGATCAAATGGAGAGGCCGAGATCCACGTCGGCAGCTTCGTTGCTTACAAGAATGCAATTAGAAAGGAACCACTTAAGGAGGCATGAAGGAAGGGCGTGAGGCCTAACTCTGGAAGACAAGTCCACGGTGTTTGTACCAGCCATGCTAGGCGCACCTTCAGTGCCGCACCGTGGAGGCAGCCAAGCCTCCGTTCCCCTGCCATCACAGACACGTCCCTCAGCAATGTTGTCCAGCCCCAGAGATGAATACAGAACAAGTCTGCTGCAGAATCAAATGGCTTTGCCGTCCAGAGACTGTGCTATTGGACGGCATGTGAGAACTTTAAATAAATAATAATAAATAAAGGCAAAAACTGGAATAGGAAGGAGTTGGTATTCTCCACCCTGTGGCAGAAGGGGCACCACACTCACATGCACACGCGGAACAATTTTCACCCTATTTTTTGTCCCACATTGCTCGGAACAGTTCGCAATCTGTCGCATTCATTCCACCAACAACCCTGTGAGGTAGGTGAGGGTAAAAGAGGGTGACCCACCCAGGACCTGTCCATGAGCTTCCCAACTGAGTGGGGATTAGTATCTTGGCCTTCCTGTTTCTAGCCCATTATCAGCCGCACCGCTGCAGTGAACTCCCCTTGCGGAGCCATCCGGTTCCATCTCCAGAAAATACAGGGTGAATGGCACTCACCTTCTCTCTGCTTCCTTCTGCCAGGAATGACCTGCTACATGCAAAGACTGCTGGACCAACACTGCGACACTGTGGGCAAGCTTCAGACGCTGCAGGTAATAACTGAGAAGACCGAGTGTTGCCTAAGTCAGAACCCCAAAGCCAATCTGATTGTCTGAATCATTCATCATAGAGCGAACTAAGGATTACCACGGAGTCTCAGCATTCGCTCCTGCAGGAGAAGTTGCAAGACTTGCGATTAACACTCGAGAAGGAATTTCAGGACAGAGAGAGAGAACTTACGGAGGGTGAGAAGGAGCACAGAAAGGTAGAGGGACATGATTTTGGATGTTTCATTCATCTTGGGAAGTTTGATGTTGCAAGGGGGACATCCGTACTAATAACAGAAGAGGGTTGGATTGACATGGGACAAGTGCTGGTAGGAAAGATTCAAAAGGCCATACAAAATTAACCCTGTCGTAGTGAAAGGAAGCGGAAGAGGGTGGTTCTCTGTAACTTCATAAATGGCAGCAAGAGAGAGGATGAGAGAGGGAGTTCTTAATGTTACAGGAGTTATGTGGCTGCCTTTTCTGAGTGGTCCCGCGCATGGCATTCTAGTCGCATTTAAATCTGGAAGCTCCATAAGAGTGACCCTGGCTGCAGCCCAGGTCGTAAGCCTTAATTGTGCTCAGCAGAGGAGAATCGGCGGCTGCTTGTCTTAAGGTCCCAAGCACTCAGTGCAACCGCGAGCTGCTCTGTCCTGCGTCAAAAGGAAGACATCAGCAAAACGTGCCTCTCCCCTTTCAAGCAGAAAGGCGGGCAAACTGCCTGAGCGCTGGGTTGCCAACCCACTTCAGATCCCGGCTTTACAAATGAACACCCCATGGTTACCTCCCACACCATCTTGCTTCCTTGTTGGGATAGCTTTCTCAGGCTGTTTTCAAAAAGCCTCTGTGGGTTTGCACGTACATACATGCGTGCATTTTGATCAGACATGCCTTACCCCCCCCCCCCCCCCCGGTCCCGCTTCTCCTCCTGTCTCTGATTCATTGCTGCATATTTGCCTCCGTTGATGCAAGACATGTTCACTGAAGAACTGAAACTCTTTCCCAGATTCTGGAGGAAATGGCTGCCCTGCAGGAAGCAAAACTAAAAGAAGCCATCGCTGAAGAAAAGAAGAAGGTTCAAGACTTGGAAACTCAAATAGGGCAACTGGCTGAGGTGTGTGGAAATGTGTGCGCGTCCCATCACCGCCTCTCCCCATGGGAACAGAGCGCTTTGCAGAGCTCTTGAGAGGCATCGAGTCAGTTCAGACAGTATGCTCTTGATCCCTGAAATGGCTGCAAAGGCTCAGGATCGTGGGGTGCCACCCCTTACTTCACCCTCCCCCCCTCCCTCCCTCCCCGTATTCTGATTCCCTCTCTCCTGCCATTATTGTCATTGCTGTTATTATTCCTCTTTATTTTCATCATCCCACCTTTCTTCCAAGGGGTCAAGGCATACCTCTTCCCCCCACCCCCATTTTATCCACCCAGGAATCCTGTAAGGGAGATTAAACTGGGGGGCGGCGACTGGTCCAGGGTCACCCAGAGGTTTGAGCCCAGGTTTCCCAGGCACAGTCAATCCCACTGGCTCAGAATGGGGTTCCCTGTGACATGGGAACTGGCAGCGTATGAGTCGTGCTTGTCCTCCCAGCTAGTGCTGGAAATCACCGTTTGCTGGAACCTGGATGTCAAGGGGGAGGGAATCCGAATGTCTGCAGTGCTTTGGGAGCAGTGATGTGCAGTGCCTTGTGTGCTGAGCTGAGCAGACCCAAGCTCAAATGCCCACTCAGCTGTAAGGCTCCCTGGAGGGTCTGGAGCTGGGTTAATAATTCTCTGCCGGGTTAATAATGAAGGGACTAGAGCCGTGCGTGCTGACTTGGGGGTTCTTGGAGGAAAGGCGGGACGTAATTGCACGTGCACGAGCCGACATCATGTTCCCAGTATTGCAAGCCGTCTGTGGGGCCTGAATGGATCAAGGGCCCACCGGCCTGTCCTGCAGGAGTCAGGCTTGAGCTGGGATTTGGACCTTGGTCGGTGCATCAGGCGCCCTTGCTCATAGTTGGAGGTTTGGGGTTGGTCAAGATGTGCAGTCCGAAGCCTTGTAAGCTAACCTCGCAGCCAAGAAGTCTCTCTGGAGCGGATGCAGAAGAGGTCGCACAAGGAAGAGGCCACGCAACCCTACAGATGCTCGGGCTCCCAGAGCAGAGACATCAAAGCAAGACTTGCACTTCCAGCATTTGGGGTTTGCACCTCAACTGGCCAAAGAGATTTGCAAAGATACCTTTGACCACTGGCAGGATGGCCGCTGGGAGGCCACACAGAACCCCTTGGGCAGCGTGGCCCTGAAAGAGCTCTCAGGTGTCCGAGCAGCCAGGAGCTGCAGGCACAGACAGGCATCTCATGGGCGCCCTCCTCTGGGAACCATCAAAACGCTGAGAACAGGGTAAACTTCAGCACCGCTGGCGGTTTCCTCTGGGGCTGGTCAATGGGTTAATGCATCGGGATGCTTCCAGGTGAGGTTTTAACCGCACCCGTGCCGAGCCTCATGCATGAAATTTCACGGAAGTCCAGATGCACCAGCCTTCCACTCAGAACCTCTCCTTGCTGCTCCCACTCTTTTCATTGTTTTCCAACTGCTGGGAATCCATTAAGAAGACAGGACTGCGGTGCGGCGTATTTATTCACCCGCAGCAATTATCCAGGGAGGCTCGTCGAGATAAGAAGTACGGCAGCCCCCATTCTTGGGCTTGTCGTCTCTGCTCGTTAGTGCATCGTTCATCAGACTCAGTGGCTGCATTCGTCAAACTTTGGTCTATGACCAAAGACAGAAGTGAATCTATACAACTAGGCAGGCAGGCAGGCAGCCTCGGTATTTGCTAGAGTGTTCCGAGGGGAGGGAGCACTGTGCTGGGGCCCAATTTGCCTCCATCCTCCACATGCTTTTCACAGCATGAGGAACTTGAGAATGTATCCTTGATGTGTACAATATGAATGAAAATGGACTTGCTCGGAGTAATCCTAATGGCACGCAGTGTGTGTGTGTTCATACTTGTCAGTTGGTCAACAGCTTTGTATACTCACCGGGAATCGAAAGCCAGTGATTTGCCTAAAGAAAGGGCGGGTACTCCAGACGGTGTGGAAACACAGGTGAACCAAGCTGGGAGTGAAGGAAAGAAGAGCAGAGGCCTTTCTCCCTCCCAGCTGGACTACTTTAAAGGAAACGCCTCCTTACTCTTCGTGCACAGCGCTGTCCTGGCACATCAGACACTGCTCTGTTACCTCAGATGAGCCACATCTTGGCCCTTTCTGCTCACCTCTTCCTTTCCTTCCTTTGCAGGTGATTGAACAGAAAACAAAATCAGAAGAAGTGTTAAACATGAAGCTAAGGGAGACCCTGGAGAGCCTGGAACTGGCTAAGAAGAGAAAGGTAGCTTATCGAGGTGCCACGGGTTGACCCCAGTGCCTGACGTGCAGAGATCATGGGCTCTTCCTTGCCATCTGGTGTTGTAAACACATGAAACTGCCTTCAGCCAGAGCCTGCAGTTGCTTCTCTGGCCCAGTGTTAGCTTCTCGAATTGGTGGCAGCTGCCTGGGGTCTCTCCCCTTCTTGCTACCCGATGATTAGGATCATCACCTCCTCCTCCTCACCAGGCATTAAAGCTGAAGCGACATTGGCTAATCTCCTCCCCTAAGTCCCCTTGACAGTGGTTTTGGGGGGGGGGGGTTGTTGCCCAGCTGCTGGGCAGCTGGCCTCTGCAAAACAGCTGCATTGTGTTTTCCAGGCTGTGACAGATGAGAAGCTGGCTTTCTGGGAGCAACGCCTGAAGAGCGTCGAGAGCGGGAGTGAGATACTGAGGCAGAAACATCAAGAGGAGATATCGGAGTATAAGGAACAGGTGAGGCAGCACTCAAAGACTATCGTGGAGTTGGAAAGCAAATTCTTGGAAGCTGCCCAGCGCATGGAGAAGGTGAAGGAGGAAAATGCAACACTTCAGAAGCAAGTAGAAGGTCAGTGGAGAGCCGCGTGAAGCTGTCTGTCTGCCGGTTCATGCAAATGTGCAGTACCTCTTGGCTGGGACCAGGCAGCACAGTGTCCAGCCCTCAAGGGCTGAATGTGATTTGGCATTAAACCATGAAGGCTTATTGAAACACAGGTTTTTGTGTTGTCTGAACCCAGCTGTTCTAACAAACCATGGTTGGTTAACCAAGAATAACTCACAGTTCACTGCTGTCATTGGATTACAAGTTGGAGCACCCACCCTGGGTCAGATCTGGAGGTCCTTAGGAAATAATTTGCTTGCCACACAAATACTAACCAGAAGCTTCATTGTCTTGCATGCAAGAGGAGAATCCCATTAAGAAATGTTGTAACTTTTGGCATGTCTTCTTCATCCGGATTGGTTAACAGCTTCGATGCTGATGTGGCTTGCAACTTTTGTTTCCTTTGGGTTACAAAGGATATTTCCTTTCTTGTTTTGGAGCACAAGAAATAGATACATGGTTCCTTTGGAAAGCAAGGAAATTGACATTCCTTGACACGCATCTCATGGTTATCAACAAGAACATTTTGAAACATGCTCCTTTTCTGCAGGTCACCGTGACCATTCCCATTCCCAAACATTTTCTCTGTCGAAACTCCAATTCTCTTATTAACCTCCTCCTTGACCCAGCCCAAACCAGGCACTCTGTGGGAGTCGCCACAGCCATTTCCACAATCCAGCACTGGGCAAAAGCCAGCCACGCTGACAGATGGCTGCTGTGGCTGGAAGCCCTGTGAGAAGCCGGCCGGCAGCCGCCCCAAGGTTCTGCAGAAGGAAACGGTTGTGTGTGATCCGTAGCTCTTAGCACTGTTGCTGTCGCCAGCCAGAGGGCAGGCATGCACTGCGCAGCCCCACAGACTCATAGCTGGCGTTGGCTCTCGGGGCTGAGGTGCAGGGGTGTGGCGGCGTCCCCTCAGGTGCTGGAGGTTGCCCGGGAGGGGGGTTGGTGCTTTTCTGACCCCCTTCAGTGGGAGGAGCCTGCTCCTGTTCTGGCCTGCCGCTTTCCATGCAGTTGGGCTCTCTCTCTCTCTCTCTCTCTCTCCCTCTCTCTCTCTCTCTATTTAATGTGTATGCCATCCATTACGTGTGTCTGGACGGCTTACAACATAAATCAGAATAAAATGGATAAACTGACTATTCCACGCTGGCTGTAATTAATAAAATACAATAAAATCCAATTACATATTAAAATATTAAATAAAAAGGTCTTAACCTGACACTGAAAAACATATAGTGATGGTGCCAGGCAGACCTCTCTGGGGAGCGCATTCCAAAGTCGGGGCGCCACCACAGAGAAGGCCCTCCTCCGGGTACTCACCCTCCTAATATCTTTCACGGAGAGCTCCCGGAGAAGGGCCTCCTCCGCCAATCTCAGGGGGTGGGAGGGCATGTAGGGAAGAAGGCGTTCCTTTAGGTATCCTGATCCCAGGCCATTTAGGGCTTTATAGGTAATAATCAGCTTCTTGAATTGAGCCCAGACTTCGATGGGAAGCCAATGGAGCTGATAGAGGACTGGGGTTATATGAGAATAATGCCCAGTCCCCGACAGCACCCTGGCAGCTCTGTTTTGCACCATCTGAAGTATCCGGACTGTCTTCAAGGGCTGCCCCACGTAGAGCGCGTTACAGAAATCCAACCGGGAAGTAACCAATGCGTGTGTTAACTGTTGCTCTCCTAGTGCTCCTTCTCTCAGCCTTCCCACCGCAGCAAGGGAACCCTCTCTTGCACATCTCTTGTGTGCTCCGTGCGGGAGAGAACCAGACGCTGTGGAGAAGGGCACAGGCCCTGTTTACTCCTGGCCAGAAAGGGAGGGTGTTGCAGGCAGGCGGAGAGCAGCTCCCTTTTTTGCTGGCAGGGGGGCCAGCTCTCCAGCTGGAAGGAGAAAAGCCTCTCTGGAGAAGCCTTTTTAAAATGGCACCTGAATGTTCAGAAATCCATGCCTTCAAAACAGTTATGGAAACGTTTTGATCTGCTTATTGATGAATTGGGAAATTTGTTTATTACATTTCTGCGCCAGCTCTCTGGGCAGTTTGCAAAGTGTAAAACCTTTAAAAATGCATTACATGTTTGTATGCATATGTTTTTTATAAGGATGACACAGGGAAAGATGTGCATGTATCTGGAAAGAGTACTGAACAACCAACAAAAAAATTCAGCATTTCATTTCATTATGTTCAATTCATTCATTAATTTGTGATAATCAGGATGATCTTAATCGGCTCACCAGGCTGTTTAATGCACTCAACTTGAATCTCAGCCCTACCAGTCAACTTCCTCCAAATCTTTTAAGCTCTGGGCCAAATATTAAATGTGGAACACCTCAGATGTTTCTTTCTAGATTCCACTAGGATCCCTGATTGTTTCTGGAATTCATGGGTGTTTCTTTTTCTTCAGAAATGCGGAAGGAGCCTTCCTCGCCATTGCCTTCCTCTCCACAAGAAGCCCCTCGTGAGGACAGGCCCCATGTATTGCTGAAGTAAGGCACTGAGTATTCTATCCTACATGTTTTCCTTCTACAGCATTAAAAGCTGCAAATGGGAGAAGTCTAGAGAAGCAACATTTTTTGTTTGTGGACAATCTTAAATGGATGGGGCAATCCATATTTCCAAGGTGTATTAAACTCTTGCGACTTATGTCAGATCGGTCTCTTCTTTCAGTGACATAAGTCAAAGAAATATGTCAGTAGGTTGTTCAGATACACCCCAAGCATCCCCTGCATTTATTTTGCAGGCGTCTTCCCCTGGCCTTGATCAAAACAGGATCTTATTTCTGATTGTGGCACTTACGAGGTTCTCTGACCATTGAATAATGAGCATCTCAAGCTGTGTAAACAAATTTTAATTTTGAATTTTGCTCTTGTCTCATTAACTTTAGGGAAGAATTAGCAGCTGCCAAGCATGAAATCTTGTCCAACCAGACCATCATTTCAGAATTAAAGAAAGAACTTTCAGAGGCCAGAGCACGCATGTCCGATGTGATCGGTTTGTGAAACGACATCTTATGACTTAACAAATATATCTTCAGTACCTCCACTCCATAAAACCTTAGGCCAGACCTTCCCATCCTGCTGTCTTCCAGACAGGTTGGCCTACAACTCCCACCATCCCCAGCCAGCACGGCTGTTGACTGTGCTGCATTGGGATGATGTGAATTTCAGTCCCGATGCAGCCGCAGGGCCTAGGTTGGGAGAGTCTGGCTTAGAGATGAGAGAGTGGCATTTCCCATGTTCTTCCATGCATCCTTTTCAGTCAGGCCTCCTAACATTTATCAGCTGCCTGGTTCTCTGGGAGGGCATGCAGATTTCTGAACAGGAGGCACATTTTAAAAGTGCAGTTAAGGTTACATAGAAACAGCGCGAGTCAGAAGGGGGCTCCTGGGCCATCTAGTCTGACCCCCGGCTGCAGCTGGCTCCGCTCACGACATGCCCGTGTCTAGCCTAGGTTAACAGTAAGAGCATCTGGAGAGATCTTCTGCTTGTTCTTCACGCTTGGGGCCAGAGTTATTGTTGAAATGTGGGTTAACGTGGTGTTTGAACCCCGCTGTGATAACCATCCATGGCTTGTTAACCACAAATAACCCCTGTTTCTGGCCTTAGGGAGGAGATGGGAGGCACCCCCTTGCCCACCCCTCAGGCAAGAAGCGTGGGGCACAATCACCATCTCCTGATGTGGCTGTGGAGATGACAGTCCCTTAGGTTTGTTTGGTCATGGCTACATTTCTTTCCCTCTCCCATTTTTTGGATATGTGAAAAAACCTGGTATGTTTCCCATAGTGAACTGAAAGCTTGCTGGGCAGAAGCTCTTTTTGTTCCCAGGACCCTTGTTAACCTGGCCCCAAACCACTGAGAACTCTCTCTGTACAGGAGAACTGAACGACAAGCAGAAGATGGAGCTGGAGCAGAAGCGGAGTCTTGTCCACAGCCAGGCACATGAGCTCAACCACCTGCGGGAGAAGCTTTTTGAGATGTCCAAGCTCGTGGATCAGGAGGAGGCAGACCTCAAAGCCGCAGGCGAAGAGTTGCGGTAAGAGCTGCCCTGGCACGGGGCGCACAAGATGACGCCCCTGCTCCTTCAGCCCCAGCCCCAGCCTGTGTTGGATACTTCCAAGGAAGCGGTTAGGAGAGCAAATACAAATCCTTATTTTATTTTTTAGGAAGTGAACTGTCTTTCCGTAGCAGCACATTTCAGGGAGTGTTACGTGGACATAAAAGATTTTCACTCCATTAAAGCAAACTGATTTATCTTCATGCATTTCAGACTGCAGTGCTGTACACACCTGCAAGTAGGCCTCATTACACAGAGTGCATCGATCAATGAGTTGATTAATTAAGCAGCTATTGATTTATCTGAATGGCATTTCTGTACTGCCGAGGTGTACTTTCTATACTGCATCACCCCAGGAGTTAAAGCCATAAAACACAATGGCATGATAAAACGTGTTTAAAATTTAAAATATATGAAGTGTTAATTTAAAGTTTAGAATTTCATTATAAAACTCAAGAAAAACCAGCAACAGTATAAAGACCTAAAACTGCAGCAGCAGATTTTTATTATGTTAAAGCTGAGCAGCTAGGCTGGCTTTGTGGTGCAGAAGAAGAGCTCCAGGGAAGGCAATAACAAAAAACCCAAGCAAAATTAAAAATGCTAGCCATTATGAAAATGTAGTCGATTCCATACTGCATGCCTCCTCAGGGAGCTGGCCCCACGCAAGACGCTGGTCCTCCCTCTTCACCTGATGCCGTGGAATTGGACTAAAGAGGTTAGGTCCAGCCCCATCTCAGTTTGCTCCCCAGAATCCCCCAGACACACCTAGGAAGCTGGTCCTCAGCCACTGCTGGCTTATCCCTGAGCCTTGGTGTTTCGGTTGCAAATTCCAGCCCCACCCCCTGAATCCGAATCCAAGTCGGCAACTCTGAAGGCTAAATGTGGGGAGGAGTGGGTCCAGTGGAGCACGTGGGTGTCCTACTCGGATGCTGGAGGCAGCTTATAGGCACAAGAGGCGCAGACGCCGAGGCCTTTCTCCTCCAGTCCCCTGGTCCAGCCATGCAAGCTGCTGGCCACCTCTCCATCTTGTGGGAGTGAAAGCCATGGCTGAGCTCCACGCCGTGCCGTGGCTTGTGTCCAGCTGGTCCACTGCAGGCTCCCTGCTGCCTGGGGTGGGAGATAAACACCCGCCCGCCAGACTGCCTGTCTCCTTCCTCTCTTCCTCCCAGCCAGGATTGTCGCTCTTGCTCACACCCACCTCGTAGATCTTCTCAGAAAACAGAAACATCCATAGGCAAAGGAGTGTCGGAAGAGCCCTGGCAGGGTGGGCCGGCCTTCCATTCACACAATGGTGAACCAGAGCTAATAGTACTTTAAAATAATTAAAACATCTGCCATCTAGTGAATAACATGGCATCGGTTTAGTGGAGCAAAATGCTTTTATCAGCTCAGCTAATTGCTTAATTACTGCGGTCCGTGAGTTACACCATTTGTGGAACATCCAAAGAGAGTCACAGACATTAATTCGGCGAGCATTGCAAGTGAAGTGGGCCAGTGTGTTTTCCCCCGTACTGCAGAAGAGGTGTCAGTGAGGCTGCCAGAAGAGTGAATCAGCAGAGGCTGCCCATGTCGTTTATTTATATCGCATCTTTCCTCCAAGGGGTTCAAGGTGATGTGCCTTATTCTCTCCCTGCTCCCAAGCTTATCCTCCCAAGCACCCAGTGGGACAGGCTAGGCGGAAAGGCAGCAAATCGGCCCCAAATTAGCCAGACTGGCCGAACGGGAAGTTGTGTCCCAGTGTGGTGCAGTGATTAGTGTGTTGGACCGAGACACGCGAGCTCCCCGCCCAGCCCTGAAGCTTGCTGGCCCAGTCACTCGCTCTCAGCCTAGCCTACCCCACAGGGCTGCTGTGGGGATGTAATGGAGAGGCGCTCATCTCAGTCGCTTCGGGTTCCTCGCAGGGGAAAGCGAGGTGAGCGCTAGACATCATGAATAAAATTGGCTCTCCCCAGTCCTTTTCCAACCGTCTGACCAGAACACCAGGCGGGTAACAATGAAATCTCCTGTGAGCCCAGGGGCAGTGTGGCTTGCCACGGCGGGCCCACTAAAGACAGCTGCACTTCTTAAAACACGCATGGAATAGCACTCAGTGAGGATGCGTGGGTGGAAGGTCCCACTTTCAGCTCCTGATTTCCCCAGGTAAGCAAAGGCAGCACCTGTCAGTTTCACTATATGTTGCTGCCCTGGTGCTCCTTGTCTCCTGCCCGGAGGCAGAGTTTGTTGGTCTGTTCTCGCCTGAGCGTGTGCTAAGGTCAGGCACCGCCTCCACCCACCACTTAGACTCAGGTTTGTTTGTTTATTCGCATATTTATATGCCGCTTATCACTTGTTTCGACGATGCAGGCGCAGCAGCAAAAAGCTGAAAGAGCTGAGGATGGAGTTGAAAGAAAAGGCAGAGGAGGCCGTGAAGGAGATGCAGCACAGGAGTGTACAGACGAGTGTCTCCCTGCCGGAGGAGGACGACCCCGGATTCAGGAAGGCAAGTGGCCTGTGGACCTGGGGGCACATTTGCGTGTGCGCGTGCGCGCCCATGTCCAAGCCCTCTGCTGTGCGCATTTGCCCTCCCAGCAGCCTTTTGGAGCATGCCCCGGACCATCCACATGGCCAAGCACGGGCTCCCCCCTAGGACTGCAGTTCCCACGTCCACCACCAGGGACACCAATCTGACACGATGCCCAGCGATGCTTTACCCTGAGCTCTGAGAGCTGCACTTGGCCTGCCCGACTCCCGAGAACGCAGGGCGCAGCGCAGGCGGAGCTGTCACCGAGCAGAGGAGCAGCAGCCCTGGATCCAGGCCTCGTGCGTCCTGGCTCCATGTGGGCCTTTCACACGTGGAAAGGAGGGAACGAGAGGGCCCCTTGCCACGACTGCCACGCACGCGCTTAGCACGCCGGCCTCCAGCCTGCTCTCCGTTCAGAAGAGCTGCCACCCCTCTGGGGGTTCTGCCGGCCTGCAGGGGCTGCACGGCTGTTCGCTGACTGACGCAGGAGCCCCGGCACCACAGACGGGCAGCTCTTCCTTTGCGTCTGCCCTGGCAACTGGCTGTGGCCACAGGTGTCCCCACGCCGGTGCCCCAGCACCCCCCCGGCACAACCTCCCTTGGCCGGGGAGACCCCGCAAGACCCAAGCGCCAGGGCCTTCGATGGGGCAGGAGTCCCAGGGTGCCGGGGGGGGGGGGCGCCCAAGGGCTCCAGTGGCAGCGCCTGCTTGGTTTCCGCACGCAAACATCCTGCGTGAGCTGAGCACGCTTCCCATTAAGCGCCTGTCACACCGGCATGTTGTGATAGGTAGCTGGCAAATGTTTTTATAGCACTTTGCATCTGTGAAGCCTCCTGACTGCAAAGCGTTGCCGTAATTGCTCATTAGGGTTTGGAACACAGCTCAAAGGAGAGAGGGGAAAAGGGACGTGCTCCAGCCCCCCCCCCCCCCACTTTCTTCCGAACACCTGCAGGAAAGCGTGTGCAGAGTAGAGAGGCTTCACCAGTGAAGGCCGTCAGGCATTGCTGCAATGTCCGCACTGAAGACAGCAGAACGTGACCGTTCCGAACCGTTTCCAGTAGGCAGCACGTTGCCCTGGAATTTTTCAGGGCTGCAACTGTGCTTCAGGATGGACTATTTCCCCGGGCTGAATTGGGGAAATATTTTTTGTGAGCCGCCCCGAGGCTTTGTTGCGATGGGGGCGGCATAGAAATGTTTGAGAGAGAGAGAGAGAGAGAGAGGTATGTGACATTTCCACACCGACCTGGAGGGAGGGAGGGAGTGTAGACCTCGGCGGCAGCATTAATGCTTTGCCAGCAACACGCTTCCACCCGGCAAGCCTCTCCAGTTAAAGGATCGGGTGGCGTGCGACAGGAAAGCCCCCTTCTCTCCGCCTGGGACCCTGGAGGTGGAGTGGGCAATAGCGGCGGGCAGAATGAGGCGCTTGTGCCAAATGAGGCAAAGGCTAACGTGATGTCCGATCAAAGATGGCCAGAGCAGCAGCCCAGGCCGGGGCGTCTAAGCCAGGCTGAGCAAACGAAGCAACTTCCCACGTGTTGATTTTCAAATGCCTCTTGTAGTCCTGTGTGCTTTGCTTGGGTCCCTCGAGGCAGTGTCTTCCCAAATATTTGAAAATCTGTTGGGGTGGATCGGATTTGTGCTGGTTAACCTGTGCATTGTGGTGTGTGTGTGTGTGTGTGTTGGGGGGGCTTGCAGTATGTTGGGGTGCTGTGTTTTGAGTGGGGGATTGAGCCGCATCCGGGGGTCTTTCTCTTCCATGACTTTGAAAAGGATGGAGATGTCTGTAAAGGGGTCTCCTCGGGGAACAAGGGGTTAGCCTCTTCATGAAAAAGTTCCTTCCAAAGACTGGGGAAGTCGTGGCAGGGGAACAGGCTTGGCGGCGACCAAGCGGGTAGATTGTGGGTCGGCTCAGTCACAGCTCCCTGCCTTGGCGATGGAAGCACCTGGTGCAGCAGAGCTGCTTCCCCGTTTGGGAAGGGAAGTGTTTGGGGGCGACCGTCTTCCCTTCAGCGTAACAGCTTTTTCAGTTGCTGCCCAGTGGAGTCCACATGGAAGCGAGTGATACAGAGGAGGTCCCATCGCCCTGTTCTTCTGAAAGGAGGAGGGCTCATCCGAGCTCCTGTTTTCCCTTTCCCCCAGGTATCCACTTTAGATCTGGCTGATCTGGGAGCGAGATGTAAAGGGTGCAGACACGAGGAGACCATCCAGCGCCAGAAGGATGCCCTGGCTGAGTTGCGGCAAAGAGTCAAAATGCTGGAAAAGACGCGCCCCTTGGGTGAGCCCCGTGCATCCAGAAAGCGTGGGGGCAGGCATGTGCCTCTGTCCCAGGCTTCCGAGGAACGTTTCCGGCACGGAAGAGTGGCGCAGTTTCCCGGGTGTCTCGCCCGCCACACCTGGCACACCTCTCACATAACGTGCCCCCGGGGCCCCATTCTGCGTGGCGGTTTTTCCGCCTGGAAGTGCAGGCCGGGAGTGGGCTGCAGTTGCACCGCAGCGCGTGCAGAGTGGCTTTTCCTCTGAAGCCAGGCCGCCTCGTTTCTGCAGGGGGCACCCTCCCTCCCTCCCTCCCTCCGTTCGCCAGCAGTCATTCCCTCGTTCCCTTCCGTGGCCTGCAAGTGACCGCAGGCTGTGGGGGGGTGTCATTCTGCAGAACTGAGCTTGCGCAGCAGGGGGCGCTCTGGGAGGGAAACGCAGGGCACGCCGCCTCTGCTCGCATTCCTTGCTGGGGCAGGTGGCAGGCGTTTCTGCCCTTGGTTGGCAGTGGCAAGGAGGGGCAGCAGAACAGAGCAGGGGAAGGGGGCTGCTCCGTTCCTTGGCCTGCCCGGTTTTGTCTCCCAGGGCCAGCGAGAGCATAAGGAAAGCCCTGCTGGCACCTGGCCGAGGGGGGCCAGCCCTGGACGGCTCGGCTGAGCAGATGCCCTGGGGAGGGGGCGAGACCGCCACAGCCCCTGCTGCCCTGGCCTGGCGTTCGGTCTCCGGGCCTGGCGGCTCCACGCACGCATCCTGGCTAGCGGCCTTTGCGAGACCCACTGTCCCTCGGAACGGCCCTGCACAAAGGCTGCGAGGGGGGCACTGGGGCAGGCGCGCCTTCAGCAACCCCGTGCCCAGCACTGCTCTCCCCATCCAGCATGGGGGCCTCCGAGAGGCCAGGCAGGCGGTGTGTCAGCGAGCACCCATCATCCCCAGAGAGCTTCGTGGCTGAGCGGAGACTCAAGCCTGGCTTTCCCCTGCCCTAAGGTGCTTCCTGCTGGAGGGGGCCTAGCAGTACTCCTCAGAAGCGACCTCGTCTTTACTTCTGTCGTGGATTTTCCACCGCATGAAGAACAAAAAAAGGCTGAAGGGAGATGGTGGGACAATACAGGAGGGTAGGAAGCTGTACCCTCTGAATCAGTCCTGGCAGTTGCACGGGAGAGGGGTGGTCTGGGAGCACCTCTGGTCCCGGCGCCCCACTCCACGGGGGCCTCTCCTTCGCCTCCTCTTTGAAACTTATTCTGGCTGAGTCGCAAGGAAACCTGAGCATGCGAGCGGTACAGCAGCCCCCCCCCCGCCTTGTTCTCCCAGACTTCGAGGAGAGGAGCGCAGTGCCCCGCATAGTCCTGAGAAAGGGCCCCGCGGAGAAGAGAGAGCAAAAAACGGAGAAAGAGCAGGTGGCGGCCCTGATGGTAGCCATGGATGCTAGCAAGGTAACCTGAATGCCCCGTGGTGTTGGGACCGTGCAGTCTTTAGAAAATACCCGTGCCTTGTGAGGAGTCGGGGAGAGAACCCTCAGAAGGGTCTTTCCGCTGCTGCTCCCAGTTCCTGATGCAGCCCGCGTGCTTCCGCAGCTGTTTATCTCCTCCTGTTGCAGCTTCAAAGCGATGTCCCCAGCATCGATCCCAACGTGGTTATCGAACGGACCGCGAGGCTGGAAATGGGCGACGCTTTGGACCTCAGCGAGAGCACGGTACGGATCCCCACGGTGGGACGCCGGGGGCAGGGGTGCTGCAGAGGAGAGGGGGTCTCAGCAGAATGCATGAGGGCCGGGGCAGAGACGAGGTCCGCACACAGGCTGAGGCTGGGCACCAGGACTTTGCGGCACGGCTACAGGCAGAGGCAGGGACCCGAGCGGGCAGGAGACGAGGCGCGGTGGGAGGCAAGGTGAGGCGAGGCTGGAAGTAGGGCCAGGGCCACAGGACGCTACAGCCGGGCCGAGCAGCCAAGGAAGCCTTTTCGGAAGCCTGGCGCGCCCACAGTTGCACGGACTCGATCCTTGCGAGGCCCGCCTGGCCTTCCTGGTCCTGCTGGCCCTTGCAGGGCAAACCACACCACTGCATCGCTGCTTCAGCTCCTGGCACTGATTGCCGTTTGCAGTTCTCCTCAACACCCGCACAGCAGGTGGCTTTGCTCTGGCCACTGTGGGGAAAGGGAAGTGGCGGGCAGCCCCAAATCCGGCTGCTTCCGCCAGGCAGGCCCGTGGCCCGGGGGAAAGGGGCGGCTGGGCTCTGCCTGCCGCGTGGCCCTCTGGTTGCCCAAGGATGCAAGATGCAGGCACCTGCCCTGGGTTTACACAGCTGTGCAGTTCCAGGATTGTCTGTCTGCACCTGTGACTGGTCTGAGGCAGAGAAACAGCCTCGGTCGCTTCCATGTGCCTGTGCCCATGACTCTCTTCCATCCCCTTTCTGCACTTGCTCTGTATTTCTTTTAAATCTGCTTGAAAACCCCCATTTTACACACCTGAGCTTTTATTTTCTCTTGAAATGTGTATTTCAGTGCATTTTGATTAGGGTTTAGTGCCAAGAAGTGGATTGGAATATTCAAGAAGTATACAACTGGTATATAACTCTCAGTTCTGGCCAGCCGAGCAGCCTGGGAGGTGCATATCAAGTCAGTTCATATTGAAAGTTGCAGAGATCCAACATTCAATGTCGGCCTTCGGTTAAGGATGCAACTTAGATTGTTGAGTGCATTCATTGGAATTTTATTTGTTTCATTCCTAACATGTTTTAAATTTTTAAGCACCCAGAACAGTTTATTTTATGAGGAATCTAAAAAATTGATGAGTTGCTCGTGATGGAAGTGGCCAGGCCCCATTTCCTCTTTTTATAGTGCTGCTAAAGGTTTGCCTTTTCTGTGGCTGGTTCTGAAATGCAGGACTGCTCCCGGGCCTCATCCTGTATCCAGAGATTTCCTGGAGCTAGGTCTTCGTGGGCCAGTTCAGTGAACAGAGAGGATCGTAGAACAGTGGCACTAACGGGGCTGGGAGATGCTTGGCTATTTTGTCTTCTCTCAGTGCGTGGCATGATTCACTTTCCACATTTTAATCCCACTATTATGTCACTTGTGGAGCTGCCAGAATAAAAATAAACCGTGGAGAAATACGCTGAACGTGTGAGGCATCAATTAGCCCTGGATGTGGGTGGTTTTCGTGTTGCTTCCTGTTCCCTCTTGACATGTGGTTGTCCGAATGATCCGTTGAGGAACACCTCCTTGCTTGTTCCCTCAGCCTTGCAAAGAAGCTCAGCAGAAGTCCCCGGCCAAGGAGCAACGGAGAGCCGCACTGGCATCCGTGGTGCGGAGGGGGAGCAAGGTTTTTCCTCCCCTCCTCTGCCAGGCCGTCTCTTTGCCTGCATAGGTTTTCTGCTTGTGCTTAGATAAAAGACTATGTTCGTTTAGCATTACAGCCTCAGTGGCGCTATAAAACTACAGCAGGCCGTGGAGTGAGAGGGTGGCGTTCTCCCAGGAAAGGAAATCGGCCCTGCGCGCCATCTCAGTCGACTCCCTGTTCTTTTCTCAGTACTTCAACTTGATTCAGGATCTTGCCAACCTGATGAATGTGAAGGAGCTGGGGGGTATGCAGACTGTCAAGCACCTTCCCCAGGATGAAAGGGAAAAGGTCAAGATGCTGAGGCAGAAGGATCTCGAACTGCTCTTTGACAAGATCACCAAGCTTAAGAGTCGCCTCGACAGGAAAGAGTCGCTGCTGAAAGAATACGAGAGAGACATTGGGCAGTTCAGGTACAGACCCTCTTCCCTGCCCAAGCCGGGGAGAGCATGCATAACTTGGCATCGACCAACCCGGGAGTCCTTGCTGCAGAAAATGCAGGACAGTCACCTGTGCTTGAACCGTTGCCTTCAAAGAGGGTGTTTAAGGATCTGAGGCAACTAGAGGTTCTCAGCCCTGTTGACAGATTGAAAATTAATAAATCACTGGACCTCGGTGGTATCCATCTTAGAGTTCTTAAAGAGCTCTAAAGCCAATATCCCAGTTTTCTAAAACATAAAAATCTGGAACATGTCCCCCCATCCATCCTCTACAGGAGAGGACTGGAGATGGGACAAGTTAACACTAGTGTTTAAAGGGGACAGCCAGAAAATTGCAGGGATTGGTGTAATGTCTGTTCTGGGAAAACTGATTGGAAGCTTGATTAAAGATAAAGTTAATAAGCCTATGGAAGGACAAGCCCTGCTGAAAAAGAATCAGCATGGTCTCCTCAAAGGTAAGAGCACAGTTGCTTGAGCATCAGTAAACGTGTGGCTTGGTAGACGTTTGGGCTTGTGAAAGACTTTGAAAAAGCCTCTCACCAAAGGCTCCTCAGTAAACTTAGCAGGAGTGGAATAAGGGCGGAGATTCTCCTATGACTCCATAGCTGCTTAAAGAACAGGAAGCAGAGAGAGAGTGGGAATAAATTGCAGGTTCTCCCAGTGGAGGGACGTAAGCCCTGGGGATCTGTCGCTGGACCATGAATGATCTGGAAATCAGAGTGGGCCATGAAGTGGCCAAGTGTGTTTATGACGCCAAATTTGAGGTGGTTAACGTAAGAAAGGGCTGCAAAGAGCTCCAAAAAGATCTCTCCAGACCGGGATTGTGGGCAACAAAATGGCAAATGCAGCTTAATATACAGCAAGTGTAAAATGACACAGTGGGGCAAAAGAAATCCCAGCTTCACGTGTTCGTCGACGGGGCCCGAGCTAGCAGAGGCTGACCAAGGAAGAGATGAAAGCCGGAGCTGTGGAAAGGGCAGATTTCGCATTAGGCATAATTAAGACAGCAAGGTGGAGGCGGAATTGATCGGTGGCGACTGTCATCTTCTGCGGAGACGGGACGCTTGCATCTTTTGCAGTGCTTGGAAAGGCTCAGGGGGATAAAGCTCCTTAAAAGCACAATGAGGAGAAGGGGCTCCCACTGTGACGCAGGTGGGAGGGAGGGAGGGGCAAGGAGAGGAAGCTCCCGGGTTCTGGGACGATGCTGGTTGATTCCCGCTTCCAGTAAAGGAACCTCCAGTTGCTGGGAGTTACCCGGCGCACTGACAGCAGGAGGGAGTCAAAGCAGAAGAGGACAATAAAGAGGAAGCAGGTAGAAGCTGGTACAAAAACCGTCTCCAGGAAGCAGGGTGGGTGGGCAGCTTTGGCAAGCTAGAAGGGGCTTGCCATCTTAGTGCAGAGGGGAGGCCTGGTGGCTTTAGCCCCAAGCCCCCCGGGGCACCAGCTGGAGGACCACGGGGGAAGCAGTGGGGTCTCTCAGCACACCGTTGCCTGTGCTGTGAACAACCAGCCCACGTCCGAGTATTCGCAGGGCGGGTTGGTGGGATGTGCAGATGGACTCAGCGACCCCGATGAGGATCCCTGCGGAGGGGTGTGGGGTGTCGAAGGGACGCAGACCCTCAGCAAGGCTTCTGGTCTGTTTGTGACGGGTTGATTCACTGCGAGCAGCAAAGGAAGCCTGGAATTTCAAGGCCCCTTCGATGCGGCGTGAAAGCGCAAGGTGCAGCAGGCAGCTCAGCTGGCAGGCCCCTTCCTTTCCTGTCCAGACGTGGCTGATGGTCACCGCTTTGTAAATAGCCACATGTCCAGCCACTGCCTGTGCCTACAGGAAATGGGTCAGGAGAGCTTCTGAAAGTTCTGAGGTGGTGATGATGACGCAGCCATGTGTGCGTTTACTCGCAAAGCTTATTTGCCACACCTATCGGGGGAAAGTTTTCCAGTCCCGAATACAGTGTGCGGCTCCACGCACACTGTCTTGCACCGTGCAGGGCCAACAAACAGACGCTGCAAGCCTGCCAGCAAGAGATGGCCAAATTATCGGACAAGATCTACCGAGAGGCAGAAGAGAAGGCTTTCCTGAAAGAAGCTCTGGAGCGGACTAAGTTGCAGCTGACCCAGGAAAAGAGGCTGAACCGAGCTTTTAAACAGCAAAAGGTAGGCGCCGACTGAGCAGATGGAGGGGGACGATGAGGCGGAGCCGTGGAGTTCCACAGGACCGCTGCCAAGTCTCGGCTCGGGGCACTGCGGCTCCGAGGGCCCTTCATCCACCCCTGCAGTTCGGCAACTCGGCCGCACTGGCCAGGCGGAGGAGTCTGCGGTGCTGCTGAGCTGCGCCTTCTTTGTCCTGTGGGAAGGCTGATGGCGAGGGTTCTGTCCTTCCCGCGGGCCGGCTCTCCAAGGAGGGCCACAGTCCTGGGGAGAGAAGCCATCTCAGCCACATTCTCGGGGGAAGCTGCAGGGCGCCATCCCCTGGGAAGACGCACAAGGGACGGAGAGAGCCTTGCTGGTCCCAGTCAGGCAGGGCTGCTCCCGTCCCTCGTCGGACCCCCGCTTCTGCGCTGTCCACCGTACTGCCGGCATCTGTACGTTACATCAGCCCCAGGGATAAGGCCGCCCTCTCTTGGCAGCAGTCACCGGGGAGCACAAGGAGACGCCTTGCACCCGTGCTCTGCCTGCAGGCCTCCCAGAAGCATTGCGTTCCCCCGAGTGCTGGGCCAGAGAGACCCTTGGCCTGGTCCAGCAGGTCGCTATGGAAGCTCAGGTTTTCCCTGGCATGCCTCCGGAAGATGAGAAGCCGGGCCCCGCGGGGGCACACGCGGCCAGCGCTGTCCGCACCGCTTAGAACAGACCTTCCCCAGCCCTGCCAGAATGTGTCGGGCACCAGAGCTGCCGAGCCCTGCGCGACCTCCAGAATCGCCTCTCTCGGATCGTGTGGCTCAAACTCAGATTTCCACCCCTCATTCACTCCGTTTTTGTGTGGAATGTGTTGCCACAAGCCCCTGGATGCCCGTGTTTTGAACAGTGCCTTCTCAGCTTTTTACTTTTGTCATGAACCATTTGGAATGCCGCACAGGCAGAGTCTGCTGCTGGGATCTTTTCAAGGCTGTCGTTCGTTCGTTTGAAGACTCCTTCCCAGAGCTTCTTTCCCTGTAATTGCCTGCAGTTCCAAATGACTGTGACTTCATTGGTCCCCCCTCCTCCCGCCTTTTAGTGCTAATTTCAAGAGGGGGGTAGGGGAAACCAGGAGTCAGAGTTGCCCCAGGGAACAAGAACTGGCTAATTAGAAGTCAATCAATCAGCAATGCCACTTTCAGTTGCCCTGAAAAGGGAGCAATTCAGATCTACAAGGAGAAAAAGATTCCCCTGAGCCTGGCAGGGGCCTTTGCCTAATGCAGCTTGCTCCTGAGTAGATGCTGCTGGAGCATTCTGGCCAGAAGGATGGCGCATCAAATCATGTGCTGCTGCATCGAGTGCATGCAGAGCTGCTGATTCTGTCCCCCCTCTGGCTGACTGCAGACAAGCAGCATCTCAGCGGCAGTCTGTGTCAAAGACGGAGGGTTACCCAAGGACACACGGGGCAGCGTGTCGCTCCGAGGGGATCCGGGCAGCCCAAGACAAGAGCCCCCCCCCCCCCCCGCCACCGTTCCACATTCGGAAGCTGCCCAGACCAGCGGCTGCCGCACGCACTGGCAGCGAGGTGGCCGAAGCGAGCGCACAAGGCAGTCTGCGTGACTCTCCCGGCCGCGTGCTGTTCCCCCAGGGTCTTGTCTCAGTCCACACACCACATGGCCCGGCCTGTGCTCCCAGCGGCGCAGCAGCACTTCTCAGCAGCAGCACAACATGTGCGCACGGGAAGCGGCTGCTGGACAGGCAGGCCGGGCGGGCCGGGGCCTTTCCCGGCAGGGCTGTCTGGAGAGGCTCGGGAGCCGGCATGCAGCCTCGCAAAGCAAAGCAGCAACCGTTCAGCGGCCGGCTGCCATCATGCCGATTCTGGAGGGCTGAATGGGCCAGGGGCTCATGGAAACGGCCCCGAGGCACAGCCGGGTGGGGGGTGGGGGGTTTGTGCGACAGCAGGGCCCTGCCGTGCCCTGGCTGAGAGAGGCGTGCCCAAAGGCACACTGGCCATTTTGCTGCTGTTTTCGCCTAGAATCATTTAGAGGAGAAGAGGAGCGAGATCTCGTCCTGCCATCCCTGTACCCTGAAATTCAAGGACAAAAAGGTAGGACAGGCCAAGTTGGTGTAGTGTCAAGAGCGGTAAACGAAGATGCACAAATATTAGGTGCAGGGAGAGAACGTTCCCTGCTGCCAGGGACTGCCTCGATCAGAAGCAAACCGAGTCTCTCCCCAGCCCTCTATCGCGAGCACACACCTGTCTGGTATTCCCGTCCCGCAACCTTCTCCCAGGCCCCAGAGGATGCTACAGGTTGCCAGGGCACCTTCTAATCTAGCAGGGACACACGGAGTCCTTCCTGTACTTTCTGAGGGGCAGCTGGTTGATAAGGTCCGGCACCTGATCTCAGAGCCTCCTCGCTTCCATCATCCAGGTAATAAAGGCATTGAGCCTGCACCCCTCCCAAGCAACCCTCCTCTTTCCCCCCTACGCAAGCCCACAGCTTGCTTGGTGGTTTCCCAGACTTCGTGCCCGAAAGCATGGATTGCCTCTCCTAAGGCTTAGCTTCTGGCAGTATCGGCTTTAAAGCAAGCTGGCTGGCAATTTCAACCCTGTCCTTTTGCTTTGGTCTTGTCCCGCACTGGAATGTCCAGAACGGAAGCTTGCAGGGGTCCCCCATCTCTGTTACAGGTACATTCCATTGAATTCTGCCAGGGTCTCTTCCGGGTGGACCTTCCCTGGATAAAGGCTGAGCTCACGTGCAAGTGTGGCTTCTCCCACGGCGTTTAGTGCACCAGCGTCGCCGCCATTTGGGCTTGCTCCGCATTACGCTCAGTCGCTGAGCTACAAGGGGAATTCTTCCCTGTGGGAAAAACGGGGGCTGGGGCAGGCGACCTTGACTGCCACGGTCCCTCCTCCCACCACCACACCCAGAAGCCGCAGGATAGTGCACCCTGTTCGTGGGTGGCAGATCCAGCCGTCCTGGGCGTTGTCCCAGGGCCTGGGAGCGCCAGCCCCCCCCACCCCGCCCAAGCCCGTGTGCTGCGCGCGTATTGTGCAAAGGCGTCCTTGGGTAGGAGGCTGTCAGGGCAGGCGGAAGACCTTGTGAGCAGCGCTGCCCTCGAGGGCAAAGCAGGCGGTGGCAACGGCAGCCAAGAAAGGGGGAGGAGGGTCGAGTGGCCTGGGGCCCAGCCCTCCCCACCCCCACCCCCACCCCCACCGCAGGTGCTGCCTTCATGCATTCTGCCCTGCCCAGGCGTCCGTCTGAAACTACGGAAAAACGGACGATTGGGCCCAGCGTTCGTTGATGACAGCCTGGCACCTTCCAGGGGCACCAGGCGGCCACTCCCACTAATGCACCTCTGCAGGGAGGGCCGCACGTGGGCGCAGCTGACCGGTGTCCGCTTGCCGACCCGGACAGACACACCTTCCCCTCCCCTGCTATTTTTCAGGCAGCAACTCTGAAGAAACCGCTTTCCCAGACTCAGACAACCGTTGAGAGGCCAGGAGAAGCCTGCAAGAAGCAGGCACCCTGCAACACCTCTGCCTGGTCCATCCCCATGAGAAGCACCACGGTAGCTCATAAAACGGGCTATCTTTTATAAATAGGTATATGTTTATTTGTACAGAAGATGGTTTTACCCGGCATACTATATCTGGATCATTTGAAATGTATAAGAAACAGCACACAATCATGTATAAATCTAAAAGCATTCCTAGCAGCTGTTGCAGATCTGTTTTTGGGGAGGGGGACAGACAGACAGACAGACAGACACAAGCTCGGTGTCAGGCCAGGCAGGAGCGCCAGCTTTAGAATCGTGAGGCGGAAAGCAGAGGCCTTCCATCCTGAGGTTTCTCCCCCGCAGGGCGTTCTAGCAGGAGGGCCGCATCCAGCGATGCTTCGGGGAAGCAGACCTTAGAACCATTAACGCTCGTTATTGGAAGGGGGCAGTGTGGAGAGAGCGAGAGAGAGGCGGCCATGGAGTGCGTGAGCATGAGAATTACGGTCAGTTGTGATGTGCAGGGAAATGGTGCGGGGCGCACCCATGCGCACCCTGGGAATGATCTCCTGCTGCCCGCAGCCCAAGAAATGTGGAGGCCGGCATGGGGAGCCGTGCCCAGCCAGGATCCAGAGCCGCTGGGGGGCTTTGCGGGCCCCAGTCCACAGCCCCGCGTTCACTGCCCGTTTGTCACTGCTGGCTCAGTCTGCTCACCGCTCCCGCGTGCTCTCCCTGCGGCCAGCCAGAGGGCTCACACGTGCTGCTGCCTCTCTTGCAGTCTTCACCCGGGGGTCTCGGATGAGACGGGGGGCTCCAGAATTGCAGCAGAATTCGGGGTGCTGTCAGAGGGGTGGGCCGGGCAGGAAAGCACCCCGGGCTGCTGCCAGTTTCTCGGAGTCTTCCATGGCAGCAGGTTCCACACCTAGGGAGGCGGTCCCTCCGAGGACTGGATCTGACAGGGTGCTGAGGCCCGTTGCCCCTGCCGTGGGTGGTCGAGAGGACAGGCATGCTGTGATGAGAGGTGGCCTCCCGGCAGCCAAGCACAGCGAAGAGGCGGTTCCTCAGTGGGCGGACCCTGTTCTCCACACAGAAGGTGGCCGGCCGAAACCCAGCATCTCCAGGTTGGACTGGGACAGCTCAGTCTGAAATCCCGAGAGCCCTCCGGCTGTCTTGGACTACAGTTCTCAGCAACCCCTTCCATTGATGGCCAGTCAAGAAAGATGGGGATTGTAGTCTCCGCACTGGTGGAAGCAGGTAGGAGCAACAGAGAGCCAGGTGTGGGTGTGTTTATGTCAGCAGAAAGGAGACAAGCACATCGGAAAAAAATGCGCTAGCAACGCAGAAGGCTGGCCTGAACATCTCCAAAAGCTGCCTGCCTGGTCTTGTTTCAAAAGCCTTCCACTTGTCAAGGGTCATTAGCTGTTTTTGCCCATGTTGTCTGCAGAAAATACGTTTCGTTGCAAATAAGCAAGTCGGAAAGGCATGTCAGGGCCTCTGCACATAGGCAAGGCTAAGCATCACGTGGTGCCTTGATGGCTTTTAAAAAGATAAGGTAGCAGATCAGTGTTAATAACAGATACATGAAACGAAAGCGGAACCGGCGCAGGAAGCAGGAGCTGCAGAGCAAAACAGTTGTCAGGCTGCTTCACTTGTCCAGCCGCTTCTTTCTGCCACCGTTGCGACGAAAACCCCACCTTTACCCCAACGGCGTCTTGTGAAGCGCTTGGCAACTCCACCTGTTGCTGCCCCTCGCCTTCACTGCCTTTCTCGGGAGCTTCCTGGCAGCACCCTTCTGTCTGCTATTGGAAACCGGGCGCTAGACTAGGTGGCTGGGGATTGGGGAGGAAGGAGCAGGGCTGTTCTTTAACACCTCTTTCCATGCTAAGAGGGCCCTGTTCCAGGGGATCATGTGACTGAATAGGATTACCTTGCCACGGTCCTGTATGCTTTGCCGAAATCTGAGCAGGAGCCAAGGGAGCTTCCCTTGCAAAATAATGCCCAGCCGCCAAGAAGAGGTAAATGTTGGCAGAAGTCCCTGCGATCTTAGTCATTCATTGTGCTTTGTCTCTTCCTTATTGTTTTTAAATGGCTCCTACCCATCCTGGAAGCCTACAGGCTGGGCATCAAAGCTCCAAACAACTCAGGAAATGCTGTGCATGAGGAACCTTTGGGCCACAGGCCAGACTGGGCTCACTGAGTCCCTGTCGAGCCCTCGCCCTGCTCTCTGCTAGGAGAGGGTTAGGAATCCCTCCCATGCTGCTCTGTGAGGCTTTTAAAAAGCCTGCACTTGGATGGCTCAGGAGGGTGGGGATTGTCCCAGATTCTGGAGGGCAACAAGCTGGGGTGCGCGGACCTCGTTACTTCTACATACACTTGCAAAGCAACAATTTAAATATAGAGAAAGAGGAGAGAGAGAGAGAGAGAGAGAGAGAGAGAGAGAGAGAGAGAGAGAGACGTCTAGCAATGTTCTGCCGATCTCCATTGATACTCAGCAATGCACCCCCCATACATTGTGTTAATAATACAAGGGTGATGTATTTATTGACTTAAAGTATTTACATTTTGCTTTTCTAACCCACCCCACCTTCCAAAATTGTCCAAACTAATGTGCAAACCACTGAAATAACTCACTAAAAAGATGATTGAAATTAAGTCTAAAAAGTATCGAATCAGATTTATCAGCAACTTCCAAATAATGTGCAATAAAAACAGTAAAGGCCGTAAATAAACTTCCATATAGCCTGACATGTCTGAACTTCCAAACTTGGAAGCTAAGCAGGGTCAGCCCTAGGGGGAATCTGAATTTGTTGTTGCTTAGTTGAAAAGTTATATCCCGCTCTTTGTAACCCCATGGACAACATCCCTCCAGGCTCTCCTGTCCTCCACCATCCCCAGTCCACCCAACCCCACACCCACCGCCCCAGAGACCCCATCCAGCCACCTCAACCTCTGCCGTCCCCTCCTCCTTTTGCCTTCAATCGTTCCCAGCATCAGGGTCTCCTCCAGCGAGCCCTTCCTGCTCATTTGGTGGCCAAAGTGTTTGAGCTTCAGTTTCTGTCCTTCTAGAGAACAGTCAGGGTTAATTTTCTTCAAGATTGACTGGTTTGATCGCCTTGCGGTCCAAGGGACTCCCAGGAGCCTCCTCCAACACCACACTCCAAAAGCATCAATTCTTCGGCACTCAGCCTTCCTTATGGTCCAACTCTCACGGCCATACATTGCAACTGGGAAAACCATAGCCTTGACTATTTGAACTTTTGTTGGCAGGGTGATGTCTCTGCTTTTTAGTATGCTGTCCAGATTTGCCATAGCTTTCCTCCCAAGGAGCAAGTGTCTTTTAATTTCTTGGCTGCAGTCCCTGTCTGCAGTGATCTTGGTGCCCAAGAAAATAAAATGTGTCACTATTTCCATTTCTTCCCCATCTATTTGCCAGGAAGTGACAGGATGCCATGATCTTAGTTTACTTAATGTTGAGTTTCAGGCCAACTTTCATGCTCTCCTCTACCTGCATCAAGAGACTCTTTAGTTCCTCTTCACTTTCTGCCATTAGAGTGGTATCGTCTGCGTATCTGAGGTTGTTGATATTTTTCTCCCAGCAATCTTAATTCCGGCTTGTGATTCATCTGGCCCGGTCAGTGTTGTGAACCACCCAGAAAGCTTCAGCTATGAGCGATATAGAAACATAATGTAATAATAAATTAGAATGTCTTGGTTAAAGAAAGACTCGCTCTAGGTCCAAAATAATAGTCATGAAAGTGCCTTTGAAAACTCTTCTGGAAATTTTCTAAGATGGAATTCATTGCTGCAATGCCCTCACTTGCCCTTTCAGGTAGGAAACCCAAAGAAGGGCTGACAAAGCTGACTGCAAAGGCCAGGCATGTTCAGCTGCAGGAAATTGTTGGGATATCTAATCCATAAATCTGCTAAATTGGTAATATCCATAATCAGGAACCTGTCTGGATCAAAGAAAGCACTCCCATCTGTAGTAACTGAGGGTTTATTTCAGGACAATGAGCGGCCTCACACATTTGCTAGCTTCGAACGTTTTGTAACAGCCTGGCCCATCTGATCCACAGAGACGGCTTGGCTGCAGTTCTTCTCTGCAGATCTGTGGAGTAATTTGTTCACGTTCCACTAGTTTAATTGCAGCCTCCAAAAATAACGGTTTGCTAGCTCCCTCTTTCCCGTCCCCCGACCTTGCTTGACATCCAGTCCTTGTTTTGATGCTTTGAGAAGATCCATCTCCCCCTCTTTTGCTGCCAATAAATAAGACATGTTGCACTGCTAATTCCATCTAGAATGTTCCCCAATAATTACACCCTTCCATTTGATTAAGGGCCTTTCGATATTCATGCCCTTCTGTACAACTATATGGTTAGATTAATGCAAAGCACTTGTTTTCAGGCAGTTCCCCCCCCCCCCCCACACACACTCACACACAGCCTGCCTACCCCCACTTCCAGTTGTCCATCAAAAAGGATGAACCTGTCACTTTGGAATCTCTCCCACTCCTCCAGATAGGCCTTCTAATAGATTCAGGGGCGGTTTTGTTAGGAAATTGCTGGCTTTCCAAATCTGCCATGTGGAACCAGCCTGTTACCATCCTCCGTGTTGTCAAAATAGCCAGTTAGAAAAGCATATATTCATTCTATCCAAATAGTGCGCGTTGCCAAGACTCTCAAATAACAGTGCCCAAATCATGAATGTTCTATGAAATCTTGAAGCAGCCCCCGAAAGAGCACGTCCCCATATGGATCCGTATCTGTGTGGGTACAGATCTGTGTTCGGCGTGATTGCCGAGGGGCTGAACTCCACAGTCACTGTGATAACTGCATTCCAATGTTGATTGATTGATATTTATATAGCACTTAAATATAATAATATTCCTAGGCAGTTCCCATACCAACATGACTAAAAATCATGTTTAATACCAACATCAACATCACCAAGCATTGTTGCACAAGTTCAAAGAGAATTTCCCATCAATAAAGCGATTGTCTGCAGAAAGGACTCCCAACTCATGGAGACTTGCACAGCCCAGCCTCAGCTGTCTTCCGCCTACAACACGATTCTTTCACTCTTGCCCATCTTAAAACAGGAATTGCAAAAGCCTCACTTCTGTCATTTCTTCCAAGGTCCACTTCGAAACCCACCTTTGCGGTAAAGTCACTGAATCGACCCCCTGGCCCCTGCTCCCCATGGCACTCATCCCCAACCGGGGACTCTCCAAATCCTTTAGCCAACACCACCTGTCAGCCGCAGCATGGCCAGTGAGAGGAACGGATACCGGTAGGCCAAAAGTTCGAGTTTATTTCTCAGTAATACACATAGGGTTGCGCTGGAAGCCTAAGTAGGTAGACTTGAAAGAGCTGCAGGCTGCCTTCCTCTGTTCACCCTGCTCCATTTCCTTCCTGCTCTTCGGCTGATTGCCCCAGATGTAAGTTCCAAGGGGCACTGAGCCAAACGCTGGCACATTTGTGGCACTCTGTACGTGATCAGGCAGGGAAAGAGGGGATTCACCCCTCTTGGGATCCTCAGACCTGGCTAAGAACCCCACACCATCCCTGAGAGCAGCTTTTCTGCATCCTGCCTGTTTTCTCCTCTCCAAGGTAATGTTGGGACTCCGCTTCCTCTGGCCTCCCTTGCATCTAAATATGGTGACCTCGTACGAAGCGTCTTCTGCACAGCAAAGCAGCTTGTGTCTGGGGGCCTCCTCTTGCCCCGACCACCACTCTGCCCCAGACCACCCCCCTCCTTGCTTCATCTTGGCCCATCTCAGCTGCCCTGCACCCAGCCTTTTTCTGCCCCGCTGTTCAGCCCTTTCCCCACAGACCCCCTCTGGATTTGCACATGGCCTGGATTTTGGATTTTTCTCGCCTTGCAGTGGCGTTCTACTAGCAGGCCGTGATCGCCAGCAAGCTGCCCTGCTTGCTCAGCGACCACCCACTGGGAGTTTGCATTCTCACTCCAGCAGTGCAGGCTGCAGAAAAGAGCATCTGGGATGGGCAGCAGATGCCCGAGCCTTGGAAAGCACTTGCACAGCATTATTGAACGACCGGTGCGGAGTGCAGGCATACAATGCGCAAACACCCCCTGCCACATCCCCCAGATGGACGTAGAGGCGCGCCATGCCCCCAGTGGTGTGCCAGGCGCTGCTGCTGCAGCCATCATTAATGCAAAACCAAAGGCTGCATCCCATCCTTCATGTCCACTCAGTTTCTATATTTACATGATTTTAGAAAATCTAACTACATAAGATGCCTATTTTTCATATTTAAATATACTTGTTTATGCACACAACTCTGCATTTGCAAGCCTGTTTTCTTCCTACATTGGGGTACATTTTTGAGTCAAAAAGTGGGGTGCAAGATTGGGAAGATTGCAAAATTTTGTGGTAGAATTGTGATCTCATCTTCATGTCCGTCTGAGAGGAACTGCCTGGGTCGGTCTGTTTCACGATGTCAGTCAGAGGAAATCCTCAGGCATGCCTGGACTGAGCACTAATTCCCCGAGCTTTAGGATGCACAGTACGGAGGGGCTGCACCCCACCCCTGCAAAAGAATAAAATAAACATGGGGAGCTGGCCGAGGCTGAAGAGCAAGCCACCCAAGAATGCCTGCTGACACAGTGACAACGAGACGCCCCGAATTCCAAAGGGGAGCACAGGGCTCTTTCATGGGCTGCCTGCCAGGGGCACAGGAGGCCCTTCCGTGTGCACAAGAGGAGGACCCAAGTGTGCTTCCCAGCCGGGATTGCAAGCCGCCAAGGGGGTGGCGCTCTGTGTCCTCGGTGACCCTGCTGCCCCACGGCAATCATTACTAAGAACGCCGGAATTTGGACGTCATAATCCCTGCGCCGGCAATGGCTTCCGTGTCACAAACCAAGGATTAGAATTACTGCTGAGGATTCCAGCGGGAACAGAAGCTGAGCTGGAACAGAGAAAGCTCATCAGGATAGCCGATGTTTCAGAGAGGCTAAAGTTGAAACAACTCATCCTTTTCTCCCTCTGAGAGAAAAAAAAAAAAGACTCCTAGCAGTTTTCTGCAAAGCAAAGCTGCTTTTCTCTGTGTTCGGTTAGTGCTGGGGTTCATATCTCCAAATGCCAGAATGTGGCCTGGATCACAGTCTTGCTCTCTCTCCATTGTATCATCACAGCAACCCTGTGAGGTAGGACTGTGATCAGGCCAGTCATCCAGAGGGCTTCATGGCTGAGAGGGGACTAGAAGCCACTTCCAGCGCTCGAACTGCTGTGCCAAACTGGCTCTCGCACCTCTTCCGAATTTCATCGGCTGCCTGTCTGCTGCTGGCGCTTCCCTTTCGAGCCCTGGCTGGTTTGGGACCCAATCCCTTTCCATGCCAGCCATCCTGTACTGTAAGATCTTCTCCAGAGGCTCTTCTCTAAATATCCTCTTTAACAGAGATATGTGGTGTGTTTACAAAAAAACGGGGGGAAGGGGGCTTTTCTCAGCAGCAGAAGCCCAGCTGTGAAGTGCCCTCCCTCAACGAGGCTCGCCGGTCCCAGTGCCAGACTAAGCCCTTCCTATTCTGGAAATGCTGCTGTTGGACTTTCTGGTGTAATCCGCTCCTGCTCTGCTTCATCAGCTCCTGTGTGGTTTCTGCTACCGTTGTTGTTTTCCTCCGATTGCATTCCTACGTCTGTGCAAAACTCTCATTCATGAGCCTGGCTGCTGCTCTGCCTGAGGGGGGTGGGCTGTAGGCCACCCATCACAGCAGCTGCATCCGGCAGCCTCGGAGCGCCTTCCACAAGCGCTTGTTCTGCTGCAGCTTTGGGTTCTGGAACGGCACCCCAGGCAGAGAGGAGACAATCCAGAGCAGAGATCCCTGGGCAGCCTTCTCTGGGCAAAAGTAATCCCGGCAGGGGCCGAGGCACGGGCAGGCCGCCAGCCCTGCTGGAAGCCCACTATTCTGCCTCTTCGTGCCTTTTCAGCTTGCACGCTGGCAGGCCGATGCTGTCTGCTTTGCTGGTTGCGTGTACGGAGCTTCTAGGTGAGGAGCGCCAGCAGCAATACTTGAAATAAATATACCTGCTGAGAAAACTGAATGGTCTACCACTGGGAGCCCTGATGTGAAGGAGATGCGAGATCAAAAAAAGAACAGGGCAGGGTCAGACCAAGGATGTACTGACCAACACCCTGTAGTTTGGAAGTCACGGCTGGACATCAACCAGAATTCATTAATTTTGACTCAAAATAGGTGCTGAGCGGGGGCAGGGGGCAGGGTTACAAGCTTTAGTTGGTCGACCAATTAGGGCTTGATGCTCTAAGCTAGCAGTGCATGCATTGCCGGTCCTGTAAGACCAACATTTGGCAGCTAATTGGGAGTGGAGCATCTTGGAACCCTTCCAGGGAAGACGGAGGTTCCAGTTGGCCCCGGGGCAGATCAACAACAAGGTGACTTCACTCCCTTCCAGGCAAGCAAACCTGGGACCAACGTCTGGAGTGAGCAAACTTGGGACAGGCAGATCAGAGCATAAATCGGCACCAACCCTTGTTCATTAGTGGGCCACATGGTCATTTCTTCTCTGCTTTGCTCATCACTCCATGAAAAGCCGACCCTAAAAGACTCGTCTTTTCCACAACATGGTGGAACTTTCAATACAACTGCGCGCGCACACACACACATGAGAACAACTGCACAAGGATAATTTACTGCCACAATCTTCCTGCCTAAAATTTTATTCAAGGGATACAACCATGAAAGGAAGGAGGCAGATGTACGTAAGCGCAATTATGCTAGTTCTGTGTATATTCTTATTTCAGTACAGCTCAGCATCTGAAGCCCTCTGCGCAGCTGACAACAGAGGCTTATGGTATGACATGGAAACCAGCAAATCAAGTGTTTTAGCTACGGCTGTACCCTAAAGATATTAATTCTCGGGTGGGTTGATATCAAGCTGAACCAATTAAAAGGCAGACGGTTTGGTTCAGTTTATCTTATTTATTTATTTAAAACTTTTCTAAACCGTCCCATACTTTTACGTCTTGGGACGGTTTACAATGATTTAATTCTAAAAATAGAAATAAAAATACCAGTAACAGTCACCCAGCATCCAATGTTAACATATAAACCCACTAACTAAAACAAGTTAACAGCTGAAATACTGGGAGAATAAAAAGGATTTTCACCCAACGCCGAAAGGAAAGAAGCGTTGGCGCCAGGCGACCCTCACAAGTCTTCACAATCCTTTGGTTCACAACTTGGGCTGAGGATTGAATTGTTTGTTATCTGACCAAGGGAAAATGCGAACACGGAAGCAGTTTTATTTCTCTGCTTGCTGACTAACCCGGCGCATCCCTCATCCCCCACGTCCAGGGCCATGAGGCAAGCAGATTGCATGAAAGTCTCCGCGGAAAAGGTCAAACAGAGCCCATTAGCGGAATAACACTGCCTGCAAATCTGCTGGATCCCAGGGGACCACGGACAGTCCTGAGTTACGAGGCCTTTGCATTCCTAGGAAGGGTGACTGGCACTGTAACAAGCGAGAAGGCACATCTCTGGGAAGCGCTCTCCCTCTCTCCTCCTCCTCCTCCTCTGCAGCAAAGCGAATCACGGGCACACAGAAGGCCAGATGGGGTTGCAGAAACTTTAGCAGATGCTCCATCTTTGGACCAAGCAAGACGAACTGGTGGAGCTCCAATACTGGCCCATGTGGCGCGGGGCCAGGCACTGGCTCTTGGCCGATTGTCCGGGAAGATGCCTCATCGGATTCTGATGAGGAGGAAGAGGCGATGAGGGGGCAGAAGCCTTAAGCTCCTTCAAGGTCACTGCGAGCGGCTTCCCAGGCTGAACGTGGGAGCAGGCCTGACTTGAGGGACGGGCCCATAGCACCACCCAGGCCATGCCAAGGCGGTGGGAGCGAGGAGTTGCCCGGTCCGCAGGGCGTCTGCAGATCTGTTTGGACTCTCCCATCGTTCACCTTCATGGGGTGCAGTGCTACCCAGGGGCAAAGAAGGGTTAACCCCAACCCTTGTCCGCCCCGCGCCTAACTGTGTGCTCCTCCACCTCGCCTCCTTTCCGAGCTCAAAAAGCCCCATACGGGGCCGCTCCAGCCTCTAGGGTTAGGGTGGCCCTGCTCCGCACCTCCTCCAGCCCGGAGGCCTCCTTCTCGGGTGCCGCGTGACCAGCACTGCGATTGCGCTTCTCTGCGCAGCAGGACACAATCTTACGCTCCTGTCCAAACGTTTCGGGGACCGGGAAGGCCGCCTTTCCCGCGGCGGGGATGCACCTGGCCGGGTTCCCCGGGGCGGGTCGCCGTGGCTCCGGGAGGATTTTCCGGGTCCCACTCGGGCTCTGCCCGCCGCACGCACGGCAGTCGCGCTTCGCACGGCGCGCCACGGGCCCTTTGGGCGCCGGCCGGCTCCCCTCGCCCCCAGGCAGGAGATGGGCCGCCCGCCGCGGGAGCCCCCGGCCCGGCAGCGCGGCCAGCCCTGCTGAGCAGCCCCGCGCCCCCTGGGCTGGGGGCGGCGGGCGCCCGCAGCCTGGGGAAAGCCAAGCCCGCGCGGCGCCCCCGCCAGGCACTGGGCTGGCCTGCGGGGACGCGGACGCCCCGGATCGCGCGCGGGCTCGACGCGGCTCGCGGCCCACCGGCGCCTCTCGGACGCCGCGCAGGTGCCCTGCACGCCTCCTCGGGAGTAAGCACCGGGGCGGGCATCTTCCCCGGGCTACCTAAGCCCCGGCGCGCTTCCGGTGGGGCAAGCGCGGGAGGGGGGAGGGGAGCAG